TCCAGCCTCAGACCAAGCACTTGACACTAGCTGTATGACCCTGGGCAAGTCACTTAACCCCCCAATTGCCTTTAAAAAAAAGAAACAAAATGAAAGTAAACTAAGTTTCTCATAGCACTTTGCTTGGACTTTGCCAGTCCCAAGTTTCCAATCCCTTTTTTAAATGGTCCAGTGAAAGATTATTGAGAGGAGGGGAGGGTGTGACCTTATAAGAAATTTTGCTTCACAAACTGGAAGTTCCATCTCATTCTCTGTTGGTATATAAAAGTCCCAGTTGAGAGTTGTTGAGGAAGTGATAGAATTTGGAACTCAAAACTTTTAAAAAATGTTAAAAATTATCTTAACATGTAATTGGGGAAAAATAAATATGTAGATATATATATGTCATAGGATCATAGATTTAGAGCTAGAAGTGATTTTGGGAACTAAGCCAACCCCATCATTTTATGGAAGGTAAAAACACTTTAGTTTTAGGAAACAAACTTTTAAGAAGTTAAGTGGCTTAACTAAGGTCACACAGGGAAGTAGCAGAGAGCCCAGGTCCTCATTCTCCAGGTGGAACTCTCTACTGCATGCTACTGTTGTTTTTTTTTTAAGCTCTGGAGAGTTATTCCAAATGACCCCACACACCTCACATTTGGTACAAGCCCACTGTGTAACCCAGAATTGGGAATACTAGGGTCTCCAGTGTCTACATAGCTAATTGGACTGCCCCTTGATCTAGGGTGTCCTCTACTGAAACTGCAGCCTAGTTAACCTAAGTACAGGCAGCCCCTTGCAATGGAAAGAGCTTTAGTCACCTTCATGGCCATTGGGCCAAATTGTTCTCATCCACCTATTCTGTTAGGGAAGTCTTCACATGCTTGGCGTAGACATCCCCCTAACTCGACAACATGGTTTGAGGCCTGTCATTTACCCTTAACGTGGTTTAGCCCATCTGCCAAGGTTGTTTTGCTGGGGTGTGGCCTCTGTGCATGCTAGAGCTTCTTGGATCCACAGGTGAAAACTGAGTGACAGGTGGATACCAAAGGCAGATGAGCAGCCCTGAAAACATCGAGGCAAGCCCTCATGCCAGAGGTGCTGGTCCTCCTTGAACACGCCATACAACCAGACACTAGCAGCTGGGGAAATAAAGAAAATCTTCATGTATAAGGTTGTGTTTGAGCAGAATTTTAAAGGAAATGAGCATCTAGGAGACAGAGGCGAGAAGGGAGGGCAGTCCTGGCATGGGGATAGCTTGTGCAAAGGCATGGACGTGGGAAATGGAGTGCCATGTATGAGGAGCAGCAAGCTCAATCCAGCTAAACTACAGTCTAGGGCAAAAGGCAAGGAAAATACTACCTAATACAGTTGGACAGGCATGTTGGGACCAGATTGAGAAAAGCTTTAATAGGGAGGATTTATACTTGGTCTTTTTGTTTGTTTGGTTTGTTTTTAGGCAATTGGGGTTAAGTGACTTGCCCAGGGTCACACAGCTAGTGTTTGGTCTGAGGCCAGATTTGAACTCAGGTCCTCCTGACTTCAGGGCTGGTGCTCTATCAACTGGGTCACCTAGCTGCCCCCTATACTTGGTCTTAAAGGCAATAGGGAAACATTGGAATTTGTTGATTAGGAAAGTGAAGTCAGAGCTACACTTTAGGAAAATCACTTTAGCACCTGTGAGAAGGATAGATTAGAATGGGAAGTGACTAGAAGCAGGGAGACCAATTGAGAAATTACTGACTAAGTTAAAGGTAATGAGAGCCTAGTGTTTATATAAATAGGGAGGAAATAGTTGCAAGTAAAATTATGGAGGGAAATATGACAAGACTTGGGAACTGCTTGGATATGTTGGTTAAGGAGAATGAACTGAGGATAACAATAAAGTTGTGAACCTCAGTGCCTGGAAGGGTTGGATATACTGAACAAAGCTAGGGAAGTTTGGGAGGGGTAGATTTGAGGGGAAAGATAATGCTATTTTGGAATGTCGAATTTGAGATGCCATCCAGTTAGAAATGTCCAATAGATCGTTAGAAATGCAGGGCTGGAGCTCAGGAGAGGGATTAGGGCTGGATATATAGAAGTGAAGTCATTAGCATCAAGATGATAATTAAAACCATAGGAGCTGATGAACTTATGAGAAGGTGTAGTAGTAAGTGTACTCCTTATTTATACCCATAGGTAGGGTGCATGATATGGATGACAAGTCAGCAAAGGAGATTGAGAAGTCAGCCAGGTAGGAGAAGCAAGAGAAAGCACTTTTACAAAAACCCCAGGTGGAAAGAATGGTCAATAATAGCAAATGATGCAGAGAAATCGGGAATGATGAGGATTGAGAAAAGACAGATTTAGCCGTGAGATGATTGCTAACTTTGAAGAGAGGAAGTGAACTTTGTAGGACAAAGGTTATAAAGCTGAAGCTAGATAGAAGGAAAAACAGTAGACTGCAGTCACAAAAGCCCTAGAAGGAGCCAATAGTATTTTCTTTCTATTTCACACTGTTTTATTGAAAAACTATGTAATAAATACTACACATAACTTTCAAAGCTACCCTGCTTTTCTGTGCTTCTTTCTAAGTTTTCTTTTGTTCTCAGCTGTGTACTTTTTTCCTCGCTCTCTCCCTTGGCCTAGAAAAGGCTACCATTAGACACAAATATGTATATATATATATATATACACACACACACACATACATATATGTACATACACATATATACATATACACACACACATACATATACACATATTATATATATAAGCACATATATATGTAAAACAATACTATATATACTTCTATTAGTTCTTTCTCTGGAGGTAGATAGCATCTTTCTTCATTGGTCCTTTGTAGTTAACTTGAATATATATAATACCCAAAATGACTTAGTTGTTCAAAGTTGTTCTTAGAACAATATTGTTGTTACTGTGTACAACATTCTCTTGGTCCTGCTCATTTCACTCTTCATTATTTCATGCAAGTCTTTCCATGTTTTTTTAATCAACCAGCTGATTATTTCTTATGGCATAGTAGTATTCCATCACAATCATGTATCATAACTTGTTTAGCCACTCCCCAATTGATGGACATTTCCTCAATTTCCATTTCTTTGCCATTATAAAAATAGCTGCTATAAATATTTTAGAGCATATAAGCTCTTTTCCTTTTTCCCTAATCACCTTGGGAAACAGACCCAACAATGATATTGCTGGGTCAAAAAGTATACAGAGTTTTATAACTCTGAGTTTTATAACTCTTTGGGCATAATTTTATACTATTAGTAGTGTCAAATGCTACAAGAGCATGAGGAATGAGAAAAGAACATTAGATTTAGTCATTGAGAGTTCACTGGTGACCTTTGAGACAGTCATTTCAGTAGAGTGATGAGGTCAGAAGATAGATTATAAATAGCTGAAGAGTCAATGAATAGTGAGTTCATGATTATAGGCAACCCTTTCAAGGGGTATAGCAGGGAAAGAGATAAATATAAAAGCTTAAGGGGATGGCAGTGTTGGTCATGAAGATTTTTGAAGAATAAGAGGGACCTGAGCATGTATAAACGTTGTTAGGAAGAAAGCAGTAGACTGTGAGGGACAAAAGATGAGAGAGAAGATATGACCTATGAGGCAACCTTCCTGGGATCAGAGGCGCAAATGGAGGGGTTAGCCTTGGCGTGGAAAGCCACCACCTCCTCTGAGACTTCTGAAAAGGAGAGAATGGGTAAAGAGAGAAGTTTTGAAGTGTGGAGGAGGGGAGATGAAAAAGGTCATGCTAGCTTCAATGTCAGTGAAATGGACCTTGCTGGGAGCAAAAGGGACATGGGTCTGGGTCTGAGGGGAGCTTTATGGAGAATGGAAAGTCTGTTAGGGAATCAATACTGAATAAAAGGATTATCCAAGAGTGGAAAGGATCCAGTTCAGATTAGATCATTTGAATTTGTAGTGGGATTAGGCTGGCTTTGTGACTGGCCAAATAGAACAAACATTGGATTTGAAGTTAGTGGACCTTAAATTCAAATCTTAGTTCTGCTCTTGGAACCTGTATAGGTGAGAGAGAGACAGAAAGAGAGATTTTGGGCAGGCTGCAGAATGTCCCCGGCCTTCAGATTCCTCATTTATGAAACTGAGAGAGTTGTACTCTTCAATGCCCCCTGCCATTCTAGTATTCAATATTGCTAAGGGCTGGTCCAGTTTCAGCCAGTCCTAGAACTTATTGAGATTAAATGCCAAGAATTAATTATGTATCCTGTACACACACACATAAAAGGATATACAAAGACAAGAGAGTTTTCTTAATTTTGTAGCATGTCAGCAGTGAACACTAACATTTCTACAGTTTACTTAATTTGTAAGGATGGCAAAATATTAAAAAATAAAAATAAGTACAAAACTAGGAGTTCAAAAATAAGTGTATGCAATATTTTCCACAAGAGAATGACTCACAGTTCTAATTAGACAGGAATCTAAGAGCAAACAAAAGTTTCTTTACACTCCCCTCACATGTTTACCTAGCAGTGGAATTAGGTAAATCATCAAGAAACCAAAAGGGCCAGCTCAGCACTGAGTCTTATTAACCTCAAGCACAAACTCAAATACTAAATTCAAGCATAAATATCGATTAAACCTTTTACATTTTCTTTCTTCCCAAGCCCTGCAGTGGGAAGGCTAAGGCTCTGAGGAGTCAGCTATACCTTCTGTGGACCCCAACTCATTAGTATGAGTGATTAGTTGAGGGAATAGCCTCAGAGGGGGTGCTACATAGGTTTTTTTAAATTTAGAAAACATTGCCATGCATCATTTTCTTTGATCTTCTCAACAGCCTTGTGATGTAGTTACTGTACCCATTTTATAGATGAGGAAAACGAGGCTCAGATTTTTGCCCGTGGTTACCCAGCTTGTAAATGTAGGAGACAGGATTCAAACACAGGATTTTCCAGATTCTGAGATCAGAATTCTTTCCCCCATATCATGCTACCTCTCTTTTAGATTTTACACAGTCTGAAATATAATGCTGACCTCATAAAAATTATGGTATTTGAGATTATAGGCTCTGTGACCTGAGTACAACAGTTCAAGAGAAATTTATTAAATCCCAGATGTCCCATTTCACTGTCCAGCAGATCTAATAACTAAGCCTGTATTTGTTGAAGCTTCCTCCTTTTTACTATAACATTCATCACCAGGTCACGTGATATGGCTATTCAAGGGAGGATTATATTTGTACACCCGGGAGCCCTCTTGGATCTAACACTCCATTGCTTAGCTCTCATTGCAGAACCCAATCTAAGGATGGAGAAGAGGTCTCGAAGCTCTTCCAGGGAGTCTCATAAGCGAAATAGAAATTCTCCACCTAAGAACAAAAGAGGAAAGTCAGAGAAAGGTGATAGAGTCAGTAGCAGCCAAAATGCTGGACAGGAGAAGCAGGATTCTAAGAGAAGGAAAGGAAAGGAGGACAAGGATGTTGGAACTACCCTAGAAGCAGATAACAGAATCCAGACTTCTACCATAGTGGATGTAGATGATGTCATGGGCTCCTTGGAAGACGAAACTGAAGTGATGGCACTGTTGGAAAGCGAGCAACAGGAAGAAGGTACTGTATGAAAATGGTGAGAAGTGGAGGAAGAGAAGGGAGATCTGTATTTCTCCATATCCTATCTCCATAAAGGGAGAGCAGGTAGTCCTTAGCATTAATAAAGCAGCCACTGTGCACAAATCATTCTTCCAGGCTATCAGAGAGATTCAAAAAGTGATGTAGAGATAATTTTCTAGCTTCCTTAAGACTCTTACCATCTAATTGGAAGAAGAGCAAAAATATATCATTATAAATTTAAGGGATTTAAAAAAAAAACCCAACCACAGCTAGGGATCAGAGGGAGGGGGCAAGGAACATGGGAAATAGGCATAGGAAAGGTTGAAGGGTAGTCTAAGGGATAGGGACGGCGTTAACATAGTATAAAATCAATATGTGCAACTCTTTAAGGCACAGAGGTTCTAATTAGTCACTTTAAAAAATCAAGAGAGAAGGGAAGTAATGAATTACCAACAACAGGGCTTTTTGTGGTGTTAGGGTGTTTCAGAAAGTGTGCTGCCCTAAGGAGTCAGGAAAGAGCTGACTTCAAATATAGCTTCAAAGAGAGCTTTGATGCTTATTTTGTAATTCTAGATAGGCAAGTCAGCTTCACTTGCCTCATCTATAGATGGACGTAATAATAGCAATTACCTGAAAGGTTGTTGCGATGATCAAAAGAGATAACGTAAATCGTTTTTAACATGTAATAAAATACATTAAAAGAAAAAAAAGAGATAATGTGCGTAAAGCACTTTGTAAACTTTAAAGACTATAAATGTCAGTTATTATTATTTTTAAAGAGCCATTAGAATTACCTCTTAACAAAACTTTCTAACTCAGAAGGCATTTTTTAAAAATAGACTACATAATAAAAAACATAATAAAGGAAGCGTAGTTACTTAGTAGTGTGAGAGCCGGACTGCAATAGTTGCTGAAGAGTTAGTCTGGAGTGAGGAAGACCTGGGTTCAAATCCTTGCCTCTGACATTTACTAGCTACATGACCCTGGTCAAGTTGTTAAACCTTTCTGTGTCTCCAGGTAACTCTCTAAAACTATCAGTTCCTGAGCAGCTGCTGATCTACATTGATTGGTCTGCATTGGTAGAGGGAGAGTTTCCTCAGCCTATTATAATAAAACCCTAGGATCAACTCAGAATCTGAGTTGCTTGGGGTGTGTGGCCAGTATGTATTAGAAGCAATACTTGAACCCAGAACTGCCTGACTCTGAGACTAGCTCTCTATCCATTGTGCTACCTCTCTGGGATCTTGGAGCTTCTAAAAATTAAAAATGAACCCTGATTTCAACAAAGGTTGGGGAGCTCAAATTATCTTTAAGGAAATTTTTGAGCTCTGACATTCAGGGATTCCATTTTTATCTCTTCAAAACTTAAAATGACCCATGTTTTCATTAAATAAGGAACTCATGGAATAGAGCGAGACAGAGAGAGAGACACACACACACGCACAGAGAGACAGACAGAGAGAAACACGGAGAGAGAGACAGAGATTTATCTGATGATCAATCTTCTGGCAATGGGATTCTCTGTTTGTATAGCTGGTCCTTGGATAATAGTCCATCCCTGAGCCTATACATGAAGCATCTTGTTAAGACTTGTCAGAACCTGTCCTCTGCTGACATAGCTTCATAGCTTCCAAGATCCTGAGAACTCCATGCCAGAATGAGACCTCAAACTAGATTGGAGAAATCTGATTCTAGACCAACAGGTTCTTAAAGTGTGGTCCTGAGACCTTTGCAGGGGGCCTAGAGGTCATTGTTGTTTTCGTAATAATACTAAGACGTTTTCATTTCTAATAAAGTAAATATAGATAAATATAACCCCCCATAAACAAAAGTTCTTTGGGGTCCTCAATAATTTTTAAAAGTGTAAAGGGGTCCTGAGACCAAAAAGCTTAAGGACTGATACTTCTGGACTTTAGCATGCTGAGATAAAACTGGCTCAGAGTTTGGAAAATAACTATCATGTTCAAATGCTTTTTCCAAAAAATCACATCTTCTCCAACTTTAGTTTGGTTTCCTCTTGTTGTTAATTTATTGTTTCTTGTGTTGGTTTTCGGTGAAGTGATCCTTTGGAGTAAGTATAAGGTGTCCCAAAAGTCTTAGAACATTTTAAGGTTTTAATGGCACTAACACATTAGAGGAACCCTAAATTTCCCTATAGTAAATATAGGGGAAGGGGAAGCAAAACTAATGAAACTTCTCAGGTTGAATATGTCCCTTGTTATGATAGTCAATAAATCCAGCCTGAGAAAAAAATGGTGAACTTGATAAAGTTGGTCTTCAGCTCGGGATCCAACCACTTGCCTGTTTTCAATGTAGCTTTTCCACTTAATCTCATACTAGTCTCTTTAATGCCCTCCATGTTCTAACAAAACTGGAAAATTCACTATCTTCTATCTTTTGTCCTGCCTTCTCTCAGCTTCTTGGCCTTTCATTCATGCTGCCCCTTGTACCTAGAAAAGACCTTTCACCACCAAGAGCTTTCTCCATCTGTCTTTCTGTCAAAAGATAGCTTCCGATCTGTGAACCCTCTCTTGCCTTCCCCACCCCAACTATGAAAACTTGGTCCTTTCTCACATCTCTCCTTGCATGTTTACGTGGAACTCTCCTTTGTCCTTATGTCACTCTCATCTGCAGCATAAGACCACAGAGCTAGAGTCAGGGGAGACCTTGGAGGTCATCAAATCCAACCCTCTTATTTGATCAATGAGGAAGTCCAGAGAAGTCAAGGGACTCACCTAGAGTCACAAAGGTAGTAAGAGAAGCAGGATTTGAACCCAAGTCCTCTGACTATGCATACAGCCTCTCTGAAAAGCATAATGTTCATATACATTTTAAAAGCAAAATGACAATCTAGGAAGCTAGATTCAACTTCATTAGAGTTGAATTTATATCTAAATGGCATTATTTATGTAATATATAAGTGTATGTATTTATGTAATTTGAATTTATATAGCACTTTGCCGTTTTATAGAGTGCTTTCTATGCAACACCCCTGTGTGCATGTTATCCCCATTTTATAGATGAGGAAACTGAGACTCAGAGAAGTCAAGCAACTGGTCCGGAGGTTATGGGCCTTGGTGTGGGTAAAGCTGGACTATGAACTCATGTCTTACTCTAATACCAGTATTCTTTCTGTTATATCATGGTTTGTTTCTGTGGGAGGCACCTTCAAGAACATCTAGTCAAATCACCTTATTTTATAAACGGCTTGGGAACACTCTGGGAAACCCTAAATTCTCTGAACTTGAGCTTCAAGCTCTGTTCTTTATACCACACTGCTTTCCACTAATGGAATGCACCCTAGAGATCATCGACTCCTGTAATAATTTGGATAAATGTCTCTCCATGCCTCCCCTTTCAGACTATATCCTAAGAGACAGATCCATGCTAACTCAAGCTCTGCCTCTCCAGCGTTTTGTTTGCACAGTACTTTGTACACAGTGGATACTGAATAATCCTTTACTGAGTTGAATTAATGATAGGAATTTCGGGCATTGGTGAGAGTTGAGGGCTACCCCTCAAATTGACTCTTCAGTGAAATGACTGCTTCACTTATATTCCTAGCTAGTTCATTCTGTCCCCTGTCTGGTGCTGTTTTCACTGTGAGATCAGCCCACTAACTGTTAGCCAGCTAATATTGCAAATCTTCATATGTATTTTCTTTTTCTTTTTTAAAAGGTATAAAATCATCTCATCTAGGAATCTGCGAGTGGCTTCTCATCATCTTATCCTTGCTCTTCATCACTGCAACTTTTCCACTCTCTGTTTGGTTCTGCATAAAGGTGAGACTGCATAAGGACCTGACAAAGTCATTTCTTGATATCTCTCTCTGGGTCACTGACCTTGAGAGTTAGTCACCAGCTTCAGTCAATCAACAAGCATTTATTATGTGTGCCAGGCATTCTGCTAGGAACTGGGGATACAAAGACAAAAATGAAATAGTCCTTTCCCTCAAGGAGCTTATGCTCTAGCAGGAGACAACCTGAATATACATATCCGTTAAAAATTTAAACAATAATTTGTATTACCTTGTAAATCAGTAAGACTATGACTAACAGTCTCTCAAGTTATCTTTCACATGAAAATGCTGAGTCACTAAATGAGGGATGAGGACATACGTTGATTGTCTGACATAAGTGGTAACTGACCCAGTCCAAGAAGAAGGCGCTGTATATAGAGGCTTAAACTGCGGAGGCTTCTGCTTTATTTGCCTATATGAATTTGACTTACGTATTTTTGCCTCCCACCATGTAACACAGGATTGACATTTTCATGAGAAAAAACTGAAGGGTTTCTTCCTTAGTTCACCGAATCACTCTATTTTATGTGTAGTCCCATATATACTTAACCAAAGATGTCATAACTTATGCAAATATATTGTTACTTGTCAAAGGGAATAATTAGGTAGCATGCTTTTTTCCCAGATCCAGATCCATTATTTGTAGCAAAGTCCTGGTGTGGAAGCCCCTCCTACTGAGGTAAATCAGTGAGTCTTCTGTAATCTTTTAGGAGCTTCAAGATTTTCCAGGAGACATGAAGAGGTTAAAATACTAGCCCATGGGCATCTAGTACACATCAGAGGACTTGAACCCATGTCTCTGACTTCAAGGCTGGCTCTTCATTCATTGTGCCGAGCTGTCTTCCTAACACATTTAAGCCTTTGAAATAATGTTCAGATATTTTTCACACAGGGTCCATTACTGCCATTGTGTCTATCCATCCACATGTGTGACATTCATGCAGATTGCCTGAAAGCATAATTCCAAGAACATTTCAAAACCACATGCCACAGCTGGTGAGAGTGGTGGCTGAATTCAACTACTTGAGGGTTGTGATAATAAGAGATTTAACATGGCACTACCAATAAAAATGTTGTAATAATAAGATTTTATAAAGTGACTTTATCATAATAAATCCTGCATGATAGGTATTATAGGATCATTCTCCCCTTTCCCCCATTCTACAGAAGAGAAAACTGAGGCCCAGAGAAATTAAGGGATTGGCCCAGAATCACACAGCTAGTAGTGGAATTTGAACAAAAGCCTTTTACTGCAAGGCCAAAACTCTTTATGTAACATCAGAGTGCCCCTCAGTGGAAAGTACCTTAGAGATCATCTAATCCAGTTACTTCATTTTATAGATATAGGAAACCCTACATTCTTCAGTTGTTTAATCATTTTTCAGTAGTGTCTGACTCTTCATGACCCCTTTTGGGGTTTTCTTGGCAAAAAAGATTGGGGTGGTTTGACATGTCCTTGTCCAGCTTATTTTGCAGATGAGGAAACTGAGGCAAACAGGGTTAAGTGACTTAGCCAGTAAAATAACTAGTAAATAGGTAGCTAGTAAAATATCTGAGGGCAGATTGAAACTCAGGGAGGAGTCTTCCTTAATCCAGGCGCGGTACTCTATCCACTGCACCACCTAGTGGCTCCTACATTCATCAGAGGTGTCCTTAAACCTTCAAGAGCTTCTAGATTCTAACATAGAACAGAAGGAGAACCAGCTGGTGAAGTGGATGGACAGGGACCAGGAATTGGAGTCAAGTTCAGGACTGAGAACAAGAATTACTCATGTGGTTTTCTACTTCCAGCACAGGCAACTGAGAGAACAAAAGGAACTGAGTGGATGGAATGAAATAGGGACTAAATAGATGGTTGGGTCATCTTCCAAGAATCAGACCCATTTAGTCAACAAATATTGATGGAAGACTTACTATGCTCCTATGTGTGTGTGTGGCACTGTTCTGGGGGCCTAGGAAGTGTACAAAGGTGTACAAGACACAGCCAGACCACTTCAGGGAAAGGACTCTCATTTTGTTGTCATCTCATCTCCAATATCTTGCACTTGATTAATAAAGGTTTGTTTAATTGAGTTGAATTGTCCAAGAAAAGCTTTATACCTGAGTGGCTTTTGAGGATCATAAGATCAAGGAATTCGGAGCTAGAAGAGATTTGGTTTGTCCTACTAATTCAACTCCCTCATTTTAGAAGACATGGCTGAGGCCTAAAGGAGTGAAAAAGGTTTGCCCAAGGCCATGAAGATAATAAGCAGGAAAGACAAGATTTGAACCCAAACCCTATGTCTTCTGTCTAGTGCTCTTTCTGGTGTACCTTGTTGAAATCTGCCAATTTATGGACCCTGTAGTACATTTTCCCAACTTATAATTAGTAAAGGTAGATTTGCATTGCTCTCAGCTGTAACTATGGAGTTGGGAGAAGATTAGGCATTGATGGCAGTTGTACTTCATCAAATAGAAACAATTGAGCTTAATACCCAGTTGACAATCAATCAATCAGTTAAATAAGCAAGTATTTGTTAAGCTCCTACTATGTGTCAAGCACTGTGCTAGGGTCTGGGGATACAATGAAATAACCTCTACTCCCAAGGACTTTATTAGTTGAAAGAAGGAAAGATTCCTTCTTCCTGTGGCTCCAGCATAAGGGTGCTCTTCCCTGGCCAAATCCCACCGTGGCTCCTTCTGCCATTCAACTCTTCTAAGGTCTTCTCCCATCCCCACAACCACTTTGCTTTGAGTACAGATTGTGATGCTTGCTTTAGGTATCAAAATTGTTAGGCATAGCTTTGATCACTGTCATTTCCCCAGTGAAGATGTAAATTAAGCTCATTTATGGTATAATATGTATGACTGATAGAACAAGATTTAGAATTCATAGTGCCTGAGCGCAGGGTCTGATATAGAGCTACAAAGTAGATCTAGTTACCCCCCTCCCACAATGGTACCGACATCAGTTACTACATCTGTCTCTATAAATGTGTGGGTTTCTAGGACAATTCTGTGCAGTTTATTCCCTTGCATTTTGTAAATGTTCCTCCCATTCAGATGAAAACTCAACTGATTAGAAAAAAATGTCAGAACTTCCAGGTTTTTAGCACTCAGCTCGCAGCTCTCAGCAAGAAGTATGAACTGAAATTCATATAATTAAATTTCTTTTTGAGGTAACCTAGAAAGTTAATTGCTCTTTAGAAAAAAATATCACATATTATGTATAAGTAGGGGGTGGTATATTTTGGTACAATAGAAACGATACCAGCTCTAGAGTCAAAGGTCCTGAGTTAAAATCCCACCTCTGATGTTTACTACCTGGGTAACTTTGGACAAATCATTTAATATCCCTAGGCCTCAGTTTTCTCATCTGTAAAATGGGATCTTGAACTAGCTGGATTTTGAGGTCTCCGATAGCTTTAGATTTGTGATCCTTTGATCTTGTTTATCCTCTGTCCATTTAATAGGTCAGAAGAAACTTTTATAAACCAGCAGAAGTGATGGTCAGCCCATTACAGACCAAAAAGGGCTGACCAAACCTATGAGCCATGTTTTTGAGTAACAAAGACTTCTTATTTGCAATTTTATCCATGAACATAATCATATGAAAGCTAAATCAGTTTTCCACCGGTTTCTGAAGATTCTGAAGGTTCTTTGTTATTGTATGAACCCAGAGACCCAGGCTCCATTCTCATAAGTCACTTAACTTGTCTAAGCTTCAGTTTCATCCGCTGTATAATGGGGCTAATAATAAGCCCACTTACAGGGTTGTTGTAAGAAAAGAATTTTGCAAATCTCAAAACACCATATAAATGTGGAAAAGATTTTTCCTCTACTGAAGATCATTTCTATGACTGTTCTAACCATCAGTATGGATGGAATGATCTCTTTCTTTGGTTTAAAACAAGAAATTTTATATCACCAAGGCTCACATGCAAATCACAAAACCTTTTCAAAAAGGTTTCATTCCTCTCTCTAAGGTAGTCTAAACATCTTAATTTTTCACCTTCAGGTAGTGAGGGAGTATGAGAGAGTCATTATATTCCGTCTAGGACATCTTCTTCCAGGAAGAGCCAAAGGCCCTGGTAAGGAATGCTTTTTTTATTCCAGTCTCTTCCATTTTCTCATCTGTAAAATGGGGATAATAATAACACCTCTCTCCCAGAGCTGCTTCAAGGATCAAATGAGATATCATACATAAAGCACTTTGCCTCTATTCCTCACCCCCTTTTGTGCTGTTTGTCTCTGTATTTTCTGTGCTATTCACCCCTACCCTCTATGTAGTATTAAGTGTGATTACAGCCCCACTTCCTGCTGCCATCATTGTCTTTCCTGGTGAGTACCCAAAGAACCAGGGATGCCTGCCCCATTGCATAATTCCATCAATTAATTAACAATTCATCTGGGGTTAGGGTTTTAAGCTGAGAAGAAATGGACAGGGACAATGGGAAATGGTGGAAAAAGCACTGGTTTTGGAGACAAGAAATCTTAGATAAATCACTTTCTCTAGGCTTCAGTTTCCTCATCTGCAAGTCGATGGGATTTGATTAGATGATCTTTAAGGTTCTTTCCAGCTCTAAATCTATATGATCTTGAGAATGGCATTTAGGCCGGGAACATAGGAATAGCATTTCAAGACTAAGAAGTGTCTGACCTGCACTACAGCGCAATTAAGGTACAGCCTATTTGGATTCTAGCATAAGTATTATCTGCTTTTCTTTTTTTCCCTTGATAATTAATTAATTTATTTTTAATTTTCAACATTTACTTCCATGAGATTTGGAATTTTAAATTTTCTCCTCCTCCCGTTCCTCTTCCCCTACCCCCCCAAGACGGCGTGCAATCTGATTTAGGCTCTACTTATACATTCATATTAAGCACATTTTCCCATTAGTCATGATGTAAAGAACAATTAGAACTAATGGGAGGAACCACGAGAATGAAGCAATAAAACAAAACAACAAAGGAAAAGGAGAGGAAATAGTATGCTTCCATCTGCATTCAGACTCCACAGTTCTTTCTCTGGATGTGGATAGCAATTTCCACCATGAGTCTTTTGGAGTTGTCTTAGATTCTTGCATTGCTGTGAAGAGCCAAGTCTATCAAAGTCAGTCATCCCATAATGTGGCTGTTACTGTGTACAATGTTCTCCTGGTTCTGCTCATTTCACTCTGCATCAGTTCATGTAAGTCTTTCCAGGTTTTTTTGAAGTCTGCCTGCTCATCATTTCTTATGGAACAATAGTATTCCATTACATTCATGTACCGTAACTTGCTCAACCATTCCTCAGTTGATGGGCATCCCCTCAATTTCCAATTCTTTTCCAACACAAAAAGAGCTGCTATATTTTTGTACATGTGGGTCCTTTTCCCATTTTTATGATCTCATTGGGATACAGACCTAGAAGTGATATTGCTGGGTCAACGGGTATGCATAATTTTATAACCCTTTGGGCATAGTTCCAAATTGCTCTCCCAAATGGTTGGATCATTTCACAACTACATCAACAATGCATTAGTGTTCCAATTTTCCCACATCTTCTCCAACATTTATCATAACTGTTTTGTCATGTTAGCCAATCTGATAGGTGTGATGCAGTACCTGAGTCCTTTTGATTTGCATTTTTCTAATCAATAATGATTTAGAACATTTTTTTTTATATGACTGTAGATAGCTTTAGTTTCTTCCTCTAAAAACTGCTTGTTCATATTCTTTGACCATTTACCAATTGGGGAATGACTTGCATTCTTATAAATTTGACTCAGTTCTCTATATATTTTAGAAATGAGGCTTTTATCAAAGACACTGGTTGGAAAAATTCTTTCCTAGTTTTCTGCCCCCCTCCTAATCTTGGATGCATTGGCTTTGTTTGTGCAAAAACTTTCCAATTTAATATAATCAAAATTATCCATTTTGCGTTTCATAATGTTCTCTCTCTCTTGTTTGGTCATAAATTCTTCCCTTCTCCATAGATCTTAAAGGTAAACTATTCCTTGCTCTTCTAATTTGCTTATAGTATCAGTCTTTATATCTAAATCCTGTACCCATTTTGACTTTATCTTGGTATAGAGTGTAAGATGTTGGTCTATGCCCAATTTCTGTCATACATTTTTCCAGTTTTCCCAGCAGTTTTTGTTAAATAGTGATTTCTTATCCCAGAAGCTGGAGTCTTTGGATTTATCAAATAGTAGATTGGTATAGTCATTGTTGTGTCTTGCACACCTAACCTATTCCACTGATCCACCACTCTATTTCTTAGCCAGTACCAAGTAGTTTTGATGATTGCTGTTTTATAAGACAATTTAAGATCTGGTACAGCTAGGCCACCTTCCCTTGCATTTCTTTTCATTAGTTCCCTTGATATTCTAGACTTTTTTTCTTCCAGATGAATTTTATTATTGTTTTTTCTATCTCTATAAAATAATTTTTGGTACTTTGATTGGTATGGTGCTGAATAATTGAATTAATTTAGGTAGAATTGTCATTTTTATGAGCAAATGATAATTTTCCAATTATTTAGATCTGATTTTATTTGTGTGAAAAGTGTTTTGTAATAGTTGCTGGTTGGATTACCTGCTTTTAAAGAGCTTTCCTGGTGTGACTCAAGGAGGGTTAGCAGACTCCTCTGAATAACAGAGTTCTGGGCAGTCTGGGATACCTTTAAAGCCCTAGCAAACACCCTATAAGCCTCAATTAAGAAGCACTAGTTGAGCAGTCAGTCTATAAATACCTATTAAGTACTTATACATCATCCTAGGTGTTGAGTTTGCAAAGAATGGCAAGAATAGTCCATGGCTTCAAGGAGCATCTATCAAAAGGGGGAAACACTGGGTAAAAAGCTAATTATACATGACATATATGCAGAATAGAGAGAGCATTCATATGTCATATCATGTGCTCTGCTTCATGGTTGTTGCTATGGGGACTAATAAACACATAGATGAGAGAGAGAGAGCTCCATTAAAGTACCATCCTTTGACCCCAGGTAGCACCAAATCCCTTCCACATTTTAAGAAATTCCAGAGCACACAGTTGCTGTACCCAAAGTTTGCTGTCTATGAGTTCAGACACAGGCATCCAATAGTCTGTATAAGACAACAGCTAGACAAAAAGTCCTGTATTTAGCCAACTTTCATCTTATATGGAAAAGTGAGGGGCAAAAGAGGGCTTCCAGGATGAAACCTTATTATAGGTGTTGCCCATCACCGTCCCCTCTCTTCCTGCTTCCCTCTCTCTCCAATAGAGTTTAGAACAATTCACTTTTGTCTTTGTATTTCCAACAGCTAGCATAGTACCTAACACATAGGATCATGGATTCAGAGCTGGACAGGACCCTAGAAGCCAACCACCTCATCTTACAATTTAAGAAATTGAGGTTGGAACTATGGAAGTCGAATTGCTATCACTTATTTTTACCTTCTGTTGAGTTTTGTTTCATCTTTCCGATGGTTCCTCGTATTGGTTTTAATTTTTACTTACAACTTCACTAATGTGAAAATATGTTTAATGGGTATGTAAATGTAAAGCCTATATCAGATTGTGCGCCATCTTGGGGAGGGTGGGGGGGAGGAAAAGGGAGAAAAATTTTCAACTCAAAAGCATATGGAAAAAATAAAAAAATTTTAAAAAAAAGAAATTGAGGTTGGGGGGGGTATCATACCTGTCCAAGGTCACACAAATAATGCTGGAGGTGGGATTTGTACCAAGGTATCTGCTACTGCATAGAATGTAGTAGGTGTTTAATAAATGCATGTTGACTGATTGAATGAAGGATTGATTCTTGTCTTAGGCCTTTTCTTCTTTCTGCCCTGCCTGGATACCTACCACAAGGTGGATCTTCGCCTCCAAACCCTAGAGATTCCTTTCCATGAGGTAAGGAAAGTGGTTAATTTTGTATTCTCTGCCTTTTTTCATCATCATCTGATATTTAAATCTGGCTGGAAACTTTGACTCTGAGAAAAAGCAATCCAAAAACTGCTCTAATTTGCATTCTTTTGGTTGTTCATCCAACATAAGGATGATGTAGTGGACAGGATGCTGGATTTGGGAGTCAGATAATCTGACTGCGGTTCCTTCCTCTGGCACTTACTGCTTCTGTGATTATGATTGACAATAACAATTCATGTTTATATAGTACTTTAAGGATGGCAAAGTGCTTTCCACACAATTTACTTCATCTCTGGGCCTCAGATTCCTCATCTGAAAAATAAGGCAATTGGAATGGACCTTTAAGGTATTGGCAGAGACCCTTGGCCAGAGGGGGTTTGTGGAGATGGAATCAACAGGATTTGAAACTGATTCATTTGATTGAGAGTGAGGGTGAGGGAGAAGGAAGAGTTAAAGTCACCAGGCATTTATTAAGTCCTACTATGTGCCAGCCACTGTGCTAATGGATGAGGATACAAATAAAACAAAAACAACCTGATTGGGGGTAGATGGGTGGAGGTCATCAAAGATTACAAACCTAGGAGACTGGAGAAGAGAGATGACACAGACAGAAACAGTTTAGGGGGAAAGATAATGAATTTACTTTTGGACATGTGTCTTTGCCAAGAAAACCCAAATGGGGTCATGAAGAGTCAGACATGAACGAAAAAGTAACTCAACAACAATATTTCTATCTCTCTATCTATCCAAACATACATACATACATACATACATACATACATACATACATAGGGACACATGCAGAGAACAATTTATGTATATGCATAGTGTGTGCATATTATATACACACATCTGTGAGTAGTTATTTAAGGCAAGGGAAGGTCATAACTGGGATTGGGGCAGCAATATGTGTGGTAGATAGAGTGCAGTAGCCTCCTGGTAGCTGGGCAAGGTATTTGCTCAACTGGTCGAAATAGACAGTGAGGGAGTTTGAAGTTTTAACTGACCTCCAAATTTTATTTGAATGCTGAATGATAGCATTCCAGAATGTGCCCTCACAGACCTCTCTCACAAAATGTTCGACTGCTTGACAGCTAGAGAAGGTGTTTATTAAGCACTTACTTTATATGTAGGCAGCAGGCAAATGCTGAGGATAGGAACTCAAGCAAACAAGACTGTCACCCCTAAAGGAGCTTACACTCTGATGATGAGCGTGGGTCTTCCAGATAGGCTGTCGGCGTGTCCTTCTCAATTATAATATCATTCCATTTACTAAACCGAACCCTACTATGCTCACTTTTTAGCAGCATATTCTGCATATAGAATCATTCATAAACGCACACCCTCCATTTTGTTCCCCAGCTCTGTCTCACTCTACTTGAGAAAATTTTTTTTTCCCTCTCCATGCTCTTTGCTTTTCCCTTGGGGATCAATAAACAAAGCTGGTCATTGAAATTGATTTCTGCTTAGGTGGTGACAAAAGATATGCTCATAATGGAGATAGATGCCATCTGCTACTACAGGATGGAAAATGCTTCTCTACTCCTAAACAACATTGCCCAAGTGTCCAGAGCTGTCCAGTTGCTGGTACAAATCACCATGAAGCGCCTCCTGGCCCATCGCTCCTTCACTGAGATACTCCTAGAGAGGAAAAGCATTGCCCAAGACATCAAGGTATTTATGTAAGCTGCTAGGGAAGAAAACTGATTTGTTTAGTTTTCCCTTTTGATAAAATCATTGAAAATCAGTGTAGAATAAGGGTCTTGGAATCAGGAAGACCTGCATTCAATTCTTGCTTCTGGCACATACTATGTGACCATGAGTGGATGACTCAACCTGTCAGTCCCCCACAAGCTACTGACTAGGGCTAACATTACACACTAGTTGCATCAGTGAAGAGAATTTCTACACTGAGAGTTCCCCCACATCAGTAAAATTGCAGGTCCAGACCAAAAAAATTAAAAGGGCTGAAATATAAAATAGTAATGTGTAAAATACAATAGCATTTCATCTGTTACTAGCATTTGGGGCTATCTGTATTAATAATCTGTATTATCTGATGAACTTTCTCACCAAATTGAATTAGAGTCATTGAATCCATCACAATCCTCACCTCTGAACTAGCTGGGGCCTGGGGTCCTTGTAGCTGACTACTCTTTATTTTATTTTATTTTCTTGGCTAGGCAATGGGGTTAAGTGAGTTGCCCAAGGTCACACAGCTAGTAAGTGTTAAGTGTCTGAGGCTGGATTTGAACTCAGATCCTCCTGACTCCAAGGCTGGTACTCTTATCCACTGCGCCGCCTAGCTGCCCCTGACTGCTCTTTACACAGATGTGGATAACTGTAAACAACCCCATAAGCTAGCCCAGTTGTAGCCAAGACTATAGATCAGCTTCTCATCCCTGCCCGAAAGCAGTTAGACATCTACTATGCAAACTAGCACCAGAAATTTTCTGGTGTTGATGATCTGATTGACCCTCTTCCCAGGCTGGCTATGTATGTTTATAATGCAAGGAAGCTGTCACAGGACTTGGTACTAAAGGTGGGACAAGGCAAGGTTTAAAAATTGTGCCCAGAGGGCAGCTAGGTGGCACAGTGGATAGAGCACCGGCCCTGAAGTCAGGAGGACCTGAGTTCAAATCCGGCCTCAGACCAAACACTTGACACTTAATAGCTGTGTGACTCTGGGCAAGTCACTTAACCCCAACTGCCTTAAAAAAAAAAAAAAGCACTGAAAAATTATCACCCATGTGTTAGTGTCCACTGGAGGTTTTGAACTTTTGCTACAACTTATTCCGTTAATTGCAAAATTATTATCTAATTTTTATGGAAAGTGGAATTTTTTGGAACTAAGAACACGGACATTTTACGAAGTATAATGTAAAAAATAACGATCCTGGTTGTGCCTTTTGTGCATCTTGTGCTCTATGGAGCTGCCTGCCATAGTCTAAACTACACTTTTTGACCTGAAAAGCTCTGCTCCTATGGTGTAGCCATAGCTACACTGTGTGAGTGGGTTTCCCTTTGGGCCAGCGCCATAGCCACTGATCTAAGGGAACCTGATCTTGTCTGTTGTATTCCTGAGAGAACAGGAATCTTTGGCAAGATCCCCACTGCTCCCTTGTCTATCTGTGAGTGGAAAGAGGAAGTTGAGGGCCTTGGTCCACGATGGAGAGGCTGCTTGGAGCAGCAGCCATGGAGGAGAGTTAGCTACAGACTAATTGGAGAAGGCTTGAGTGTAAGAGCCTGATTCTGATCCCGCTCCACCCCTCATCTACCTATCTTTCAACACTGATTAAGACGGGGACAAGCATGGTCACAGAACATAGAGGCTTCCTGGACCCCATTGTTCCTGCCCTTAGGCCTGCTTATCATGGACTGACCATCTGAAAGCTAACATATTCATGTGTTCAAAAGGGAAATCAACAAATACTTACTTAGAACAATTACATGGAAGCAATTATTAACAATTAAGACTTTTTTTCTTTTAAGATCTACTTATTTTTTGGTCAAGACATTTAGATCTGAAGAGACATTTGGTGAGGGGTGGGCTGGTAAATGTTTAAGTAGGTCTCCTAAAAAATGTACACTGGCTATACTTTTAAGCTTAATCCCATTTTTTTTTCATGAGTAACTAGAGAATTATAGAGAAAGGCTATCCATCCGCCAGAAGATTCTACCACGATGAAAGACTTTGAGTATAGTCTCAGTGAAAAACTAAATCTGTTGCCCAAGGACCAACTAAGCTAAATGCGGAAAGACTTTGGCCACAACAACCTAAGAAACGAAGAAAAATATAAGATGGTCTGAAGTTCCATGTGACTGTTGCTCTCTCCCCAGTGATGATGGTGGCATGGTATAAAATAGTGCCAAGTATATTTATTAATTATCCTATAGCTTTTAGACCATCCAATTGACATTGACTGAACTGTAGGTATGCTAAATGTCAGGTCTTAGTTTAATGAACTAGGACTTGACATGCCACTGGAAAATTAAATCATAGCAATATTGATATTCTCATGATAACTAAAATCATAAGATCAAAGGAAGTGACAACTAAGAAGAGAATGGCCTCCACGTTTCTCTTTGAAGAGGAAAACAAATAGAGTTGTTGGGGTGGATTTCCTTGCATACCCTGAAGCACTCTGTCTCTGCAGTGCTGATGATTTGTCATAGCTCCTATTATGTGTGTTTTCCTTTGGAAATTGTAATTTCATTTGTAAAACATTTATAGAGGAGGATGGAAGAAGTTAATGAGCAGCAGTGCCTCATAAAATAGGAAAAAAGTAGAAACAAGAAAGTTTACAGAAAGCTTAGTATTCAAATGAGATAAATATTTGTAAAAGTGCTTAGCATAGTGCCTAGCACTTAGTAGGTGCTATATAAATGCTTATTCCCTTATTCACAAATGAAAATGGCAAGACACCAAATAGATAGAAAATGAAACAAATTGACCTATCTTTCTACAATGCTTTGTTTTCAAAAGTACTAGACCTAGAGTCAGAGGACTTGAAATTAAATCCCTAGTCTGTTATTTATTGTCCATATTACCTTAGGCAAGTTATTTAATCTTTCTGGGCCTCAGTTTCCTTATTTCTAAAAGGAAGGGATTGGACTAGGTAGCATCCTTTGCAACCCTAAATTTCTGAGACTATGATGATCCTAAGTCATGTAACCCCTGTATGCTTTAGTTTATTAATTTGTAAAACAAGGGGGTTAGATTAAGAGACCTCTAAGGCCCCTTCCAGCACTAAATGTACAATTTAACTACTCTTAAGACATCAGAATTTTTAAAGCTAGAAGAGACCTTAGGTATCACCTAGTTTAACCCCATTATTTATAGATAAGAAAACAGATCTAGGAAGGGAACATGAGTTTCCCAAGGGGACATGACTAGTTAGGAAGGGCTAGAACCTAAATGGAAAAATGAAAGATGAAAATGAATAAGAAGGTGGAGAAAAAAATGATAGAAGAAATATAGGAATGAAGAGATGCAGGGAATAAAAAAGAAGCTGAGTTTGCAAAGTGTTAATAAGCGTTAATCAATTGATTGAATAGAGAGAAAGCAGGGAGAGCAAAGGTAGGGAAGAGGACATTAGGAAATGGGACTCTGAGGAATCAATCTAGCTACCATGGTACCTGGCATATAATTAGTGCTGCATATATGCTTAATAAATAAAAGGAATGAAAAATCATGAAACATTATGACATTATCAAATTCCAAAGGTGGTGTTCACTTGGAGCTAGTAACAGGAGTCCTTTTTGAAAATTTAGCCAATAAAATCTGAAATATAGGTACAAAAAGGGGTCAGAGAAAAAGGCGATGGCCCAGATCCACATGCATGAAAATCTTTTCTGTTCTTCATGGCACACAGGACCAGTGTCCTATTCATCAGGCAGAAGAAACTCAGTCATTTCCATATCAATAGCAAGAGCTATAAGACCAACAACCCCATCCATAGTGCCAATTATAGAAAAAACTAAGTGGGAAAGAGGGAAAGATGATTGATAAAAGCTGAAGCCTTCTTTAGTGCTCCTTCAAGGGGAAAAGATGCTGATTTCTCTGGCAACAGAGTCAAGTAAATGATAATATCCCACGAGCAAGTAAGCATTCTTCTTTCCTATCTTTGACTGACTTCCAATTTTCTTTTAAGGGAAAGATACTTTTTTCTGGAAAATCCAAAAGGACATCTAGTACATAAGTGGATTAGATGACCTTGGAAGGTCCCTTTCATGTTTGAAATTCTGCTCCTCTATGGTACCTCCAGAAAGGAAGTTTTTGTTGACCTTAGACTCTGCTCTCCACAGGTGGCTTTGGATGCAATCACATGTCGCTGGGGAATCAAAGTGGAGAGAACAGAAATGTAGGTAGGAAATGAACCAAAAGAGAAACAATAAATAAAATCAACATCAATAGTGTTAACACTATTGTCAAATCCAGTGACCTCTTCTCAGTCCTCATTCCTTTCACCTTTCTATAGTACTTGACACTATTCACCACCTTTCTCCTCTACTCTTTATTTTTGGTCGGGGGGGAGAACTACTAATTTATTGGTGTAGGAATTTCTAGGTAGGAAAACTCCCTCCAATGATCCAGATCAGCAGTTATTCTACAACTCATAGCCTCGGAGAGTTAGAGAAGTACATGGCAGAGTTAGAATTTGAACCTAGATCTTCCCAATTATATCTCAATCCACTCTACCACATTGCCTCTCTTCCTACTATTTCTTAAATAATGTCTTCTACTTTGGCTTCCATGACACTGTTCTCCTCTGCATAGCCTACCTCTTGAACACTCCTTCCCATTCTCCCTAACTGGTTCCTCTTTGTCCTCCCACTTCCTAAGTATGGTTGTTCACCACGAGTCTGTCCTGGCACCTTATCTCGTCTTTCTCCCTAGTCTTTCCTTTGGCAATCTCATCCATTCCCATGGCTTCAATGATCTCTTTGCAGATGATTCCCAGTGTTATCTCCAGCCCTGACCTCAAAGAAAAATCACCAACTTCCCTCTAAGATTTCCCTCTCTTCCAGACCTCGTTATTTTTGTTGATGACACCAGTCACCCTGGCTAGAAACTTTGGAATCACCTTGGCTGGAAACTCTGGAATCATCTTTAACTCTTTCATCTTCTTTAGCTCCCAGATCTACTCAGTTGCTAAATCTCTTCAATTCAAGCTCCTTAGCATCTCTCCTATCTTTCCTTTCTTCTCTGCTCACACTGCCATACTCTTCTAGATCATCATCCCCCATCATCCAGACTATTTTAACAGCTTTCTAACTAGTCCATCCACTTCTGCTCTTTTCTCACCTGCACACCATTGCCAAAGAGAAGCAGCATGACAGTAGGTAGGGTGCTGTACTCAGGTCAGGATGATCTGGGTTCAAATCATGAATCTGACATTTACTGCCTAGATGACAATAGGATTGTCACTGAATCCCTCTATACTTCAGTTTCTTCATCTGTGAAATAGGGAGAATAGTACCACAATGCCTAATTTATAGGTTTGTTGTCACAAATGAGCCATGTTTTCATTTTAAATAATTTCAGTGTAAATAAAGTTTCGCAAACTTTAAAGTGAGACACACGCATCAGTTAAAAAAAAACAACTAAAATTTTTCACTGTTTAACTGACCTCATTTCTCTGTTTCTCAGAGGATATATATACCTCTCCCTATGCTTGAATTCCCCCATTTCCTACTGTTAAGCTACCTTAATGAGGTTCAGTTGCCTTATTCTTCTATCTGATCCTTCTTCTCTTTTCCCATGAGAGAAGTGATTCAGCCTTCTGGAGACCCACACCAATAACAACATGGATCATTTCCTCACAGTAGAGTGTAAGCTCTGTGACCATAGGGACTGTTTTTGTTCTTGTCCTTCTGTCTCTAGGAACTGGACACTGATTTGCATTTTCATCGATGTGCCTTTCCCTCCACTGACCTCACAGCCACTCCAGGACTTAAGAGATAGGCTTCTGAATTGCTGTAACCAAATACACACATAAGCATATATATATATATATATATATATATATATATATATATATATATATATATATATATATATATATATACATACATACATACATACATATATCTATAAAATATATATATACATACATACATACATACATATATCTATAAAATATATATATACATATATATCTATATACATATATCTATAAAATATATATATACATACATATATCTATATACATATATATCTATATGTGTGTGTGTCTATGTGTACTTAGCACATATATATGTATGTATGTATATATGTCTATGTGTACTTAGACATCTATATACAAACATGCCTTACTTGGTGATCAGGCTTCTGGTGATGAGCCTTTCTGTGCTTAACTAGGTTGGTTTGGGATGACAATCCATTTCTGGACCCATTCAGGTTGGTAGAATCTAATTGGCAGGCAAAGCTCTCTCCTGAAAAAAATCTTTGGAAAGTCTAGGGCACTCCACACCACAGAAAAGCATCAGGGTTATGCTTTAGTCGATGAAGGAATCATTTTCTAACATTTATTACAATAATTTGTGTACATGTCTCACCAGCAAAAATATTGTGGCTTAATGAAAAGAGTGATGGGGTTAGAGTCAGGAGACTTAGTTTTTTTAAATAAATTTTTATTTATACTTTTTGTTTTCACATCATCTAGACTTCTCCCTGTATCTCTTCACCATCCTGTCCCAGAGAGCTGTCCCTTAAAACAAAGAATTTTTTTTTAAAAAGCAGAAAAAATAAGTAAAATCAATCAACACACCACAAAAAAAAAATTAACATTACATGTAATGTTCCATGCCAGAGGAGGGAAATATCTTCTCATGTCTCATGGGGCCAAGCTTGTTCTTTGTAACTTTGTAACACTTGTTTTCAGTTGTTGTAGTTTTCCTTCTCTGCATTTACATTGTTTTAGTCATTGTGTATATAGATGGTGGGGGAGGGGTCTGCCTATTTCACTTTGTGTGGGTTCATCTCTTTCCACGTTTCTCTGTATTCACTGAAACTTAGGTTTTCTATCTTAGACAGCTACTTATTAACTGCAACAATGGGCAATTTTCTTTACCACTCCTAGCCTCAGTTTCTTTTTCTGTGAAACAGGGATCCCAACATTGGCACTGTCCGCTTCATGAGTCTGTTGTGAAGGAAACCATTTACAAGGTGTCAAGCCTTGTTATCATCACCATAAATGGTTCAGATTTCAGATTTAGAATTTAGATTACAACACAAAATTTCTCTGAATTCCTCATTCAGGAAGATTAAATTCAATATAATTTATCTGACTCCCAGAAGTGGTGTGAGGAAAGCACATTGTCAACTATCAGACATTCTGGGTGTGAACTATTATTATAACCCCCTCATAAGTGTAACGATAGAACAATAATTATATCGGCCACAATGTCCAAAACAATTAAAACCAACATTATAAATAAGCAACAACAACCGAATGCTAATCTTAAGGTTATTTCACCAGCCCATATTCTATTAAAATGATGTTAAAAAGAAGGGTGAGACATTGGCTTTGCAATCACAGGACTTGGATTCAAATCCTGCCTCTGACACTACATGTGTGACCTTGGACAAGTGACTTCATTTTCCTGGGCCTCAGTTTCCTCATCTGAGAAATGAGGAGGTTGGACTAAATGGCCGGTGAGGTCCCTTCCAGCCCTAGACCTAGAATTCTATGATTACCTTTGTTTCGGTGGGTTCAGGATTAATAAAAGCATTGTAATAAAATACAAAGCATTCAGGCAAAAGTCTCTAGGCATAAAGCTGCCGTTTTAAAATGAACTTCAGTAAAGTGAAGCCCTTGGCAATGAACTACACTGGGGATAATAACATGCTGTTCGAGTTTTCCAAAATTGAAAAAAAAAAGCCAGTGGTAATGAAGACCTGTACTAGGCGGTAGCAGTGAGACCAGAGAGTTCTCTACTATTTTTCTGTTGCAGATCCTTCCTAGAGCTACTCTTTGCAGTTCTGCATCAAAAAAAAAAAAAGAAAAAAGAAAAAAAAACTCTGTTACCCAGAAGTCCCTGCTATCCTACCTCAAGGCCACTGTTTTTTGTTTTGTTTTGTTTTTTTCTCTTTTGCAGTAAAGATGTGCGACTGCCCACAGGCCTCCAGCAGTCACTGGCTGTGGAAGCAGAGGCTCAAAGACAGGCCAAAGTGAGGGTAAGCCAATAGTGAACACTCATGCCCTTTGCTTCTGCCTCCACGTCCCTGTCCAGGTTCTTTCAGCCAGGGCATAATATAGACTAGGACAGTTTCACCAGCAATCAAAGAATTCACTGCTTGATAGATTCAGGACACGAGATGTGAGGGAGGTCACAGTGACTGACTCCCTGGCAAATCTTGAAAATGGGAATGAAGGAACGTCTGCTAACGTGATGCCTTCCCTGTATCCTAGATGATTGCTGCTGAGGGGGAGAAGGCTGCCTCGGAATCCCTGAGGATGGCAGCTGAGATACTATCGGGCAGCCCAGCCGCTGTTCAACTTCGCTATCTTCACACCCTTCAATCCTTGTCCACAGAGAAGCCGTCCACTGTCATCTTACCTTTGCCCTTTGATCTCACGAGTCTCTTACCTCCTGCTGGCAACAGAATGCAAGGAAGCCTCCCCTTACCCAATCCTCCCAGGCAGGTAGAAACACGGGATCCCTCAAAAAAAGATTCTCCCATGTTGTGAGACCCCAAAAGGATATAATTAAGAGGTCCTGTAGCACCAGAGGATGCAAAATTTAGTCATGTGTAACTTAGCACTCTTGTTGTTTGCATCTATTTTGGTCACCATATAGAATGTCAATGGAATGAAAACAAAGGCACCCTCTGGGGTGAGAAAATCTATGTCATCCCTACATTAGTAAGAAGGCATCTTCCTGTTGTGGTTCATAGCTTGTCAAAAAAAAAATCTTACAGGATCCACTTACTTAGAGCAAGCTTTGGGAAGGAAATTCTAACCCTTCCTAAGGAAATATTCATCTTAAAATAACTTTAAGCCAATGGATCTTCCCAATTGTGTCACTTAACTACAAATTTCATGGCTAAGCCCTTATACTTTATAACATTAAAAAAGAGACATACATTTCTTCTGATTGACTACAAAATTTATGCCTTATCAAAGAACATGGAGACTATTAATTCTTTATTGAGACTAATGTATAACAACATATATAATAGCACCTATCTCATAGGGTTGTTGTGAGAGTAAAGTGCTTTGTAAACTTGAAAGCACTATATAAATTCTATTATTAATAATCCTAATTATGTCAAAAAATGGAAAAATAATCAATATCAATATGGGGCTACTCATCATACTCTTTTGGTACAGTACTTAGTACTATTTCTTTAAAAGAAAAAAAATTATACGATTCACATTTTAGCAAAAATGTTCAATTTTGTACTGTTGGCCCCTGATAAATGCATTTCTAAAACTTGCCTCTAGAGCAAATAAGGTAACTTCAGTATTTCTGTTCTCTTCTGTTATAAAATCAGAGATGCTTAGCAAGCGGGGGAAATGGTCCCAAGGCATAATAAAATCATGTTCTGGAAGACAGCAAAGCTTTAAAGCTATGTCAAGAAAAATCAATAATATGATAAAACCCTACTAGTAAGACTCAAAATAAATAACAAAGTAAACGTTGGCAGCTTTAAATACAGCAGGTTGAAAGGACGGCTGGGTACAGGGGCAGTGCAGGGAACAATAAAGATTTGATTAAGATGTTCTCAAACTTGAAAGCCCTCCCCCTCCCAATACTTCACATTTTGCATCTAATGCAATTGCCTGCGGTTGAGGTGTGTTTCTGAGTCCCTTGGCCTGAACTCTGAACTGTAGTGCAGTCACGTCGTTGTTGAAATCAGTTGTCATGGACTGGCTTGGGAACCTAACCAGTCTTTTATGACATCGTTTCTATGGGGAAATGTATTCTGACATATTTACAACCATCATGTGATGGGGAATCTTTGTATGTCATTTAGCAGGATAGTTATTTTTTTTAGCCCAAACTTGCATCTCTCTAAGGACATTAGCTAAGAAAACTCCAGGTCGCTAGCAAATTCCATAAACCCAAGTTCTGAGGTGATGTTTGCCATATTTAATGATTTTGTTTGTTCATATTTTGGGGGGGGGGGTTAGGCAATGGGGTTAAGTGACTTGCCCAGGGTCACACGGCTAGTAAGTGTTATGTGTCTGAGGCCAGATTTGAGCTCAGGTCCTCTTGAATCCAGGGCCGGTGCTCTATCTACCGCACCACCTAGCTGCCCCAAATACTTACTGATTTTAAGTCTTTAACAGTGAAACAAATATATTGGATTGCTGGATAGGAATAGAGAGGAATACCTATCATCTTATTTTGACAGAATTTTTACAAATAATTGGTAGCATACAGAGAGAAAAGGGAGAATAAAGCAAAGATTGGAGATGCTAGATCTCTCCTGGCTCATACATTGGTCTGCACTGGTTACCTTGCCTCAATGGGGGTATTCATCTCCCCTTTTTTACCTCCTTTGTATACATTGCCTTCCTCCACTAAAATGTAATTTCTTGGAAAGTAGGGACCATTTCAGTATTTAGCCTGATCCATAGTATATCATAAATGCTTTATCGAATCTAATCTAGATTAAAACTTTCAGTCATGTGAGCCAGAGAGAATGATGAATATTTTTTCTCTATGTACAATTCACATCACTGACTAGGTGAACTTTTAGAATCATCATTTAAGATGGCACAATGGAAAACAGGGTAGGAACAGGAGTGCAGAGATCTGGCAGAGTTGAAGGACCTCAGAGGTAATAGGGTAGAATTCTTATTTGAATAGGAGACCTTTCTATGATACCCCCCGGAGATGATCACCCAACTTCTGCTTTAAGATTTCTAGGGATGGCAGAGCTTATCAGTGATGAGACATCTCATGGGATACCTTAGATTTTTCTTTCTAATGAACATTTCTGGAATGCCCTATTTCTGACTTCTGTGTCAAAGTAATACAAAATTAACCCCTCTTCTACATGGCAACCAATCAAATACTTGAAGACAGTTTCATGTCTTTATTCCTTTGCCCAGACCTCCAGGTCTTCTCCTCTTTCATTTCTCAAATTGACACCCAGGACTAAAAAGGACAGAGTACAGGGAGACTATTGTCTCCCCTGTATGCAGCTAAGATCTCACCCCACATCACTTCTTGGAGGTGTTTAAAGTCACAGACCTCTACCAGGAGATAAGGAAGGAATCAGCCAACTTTTGCACAAGTCTTGTTTAATTCAGGCTCTCCCTGTACACCAAAGTGTTGCACTAATTAATTACAACAATCACTGTGACTTAAATACAATATTTAAGCTGGCTTCCCTGGAAGCACTGTCAATAGGAGTGCTTGCCTTGAATTGTATCTTCAGCTGTATGGCTCTGGAATGGAGTTGTTGTATTCAACGAATGTAGTAACTGGGAATGAGAGCAAATGAAACATCTTTGTAGAAGTTACTTGTCACTAGTGTTTGGATGTGGAATACGATTTGGCAGATTTACTCTGAGCTTGGTGGTCCTTGCCTTTACTCCCTGTATCATCCTTATGCTCTGTGGAGGGGGAAAAAAACATATTGTTTCAAACATGATGATAATAATAACTACTCTATTATATTGTACGTAAAATAACAACTTATTCTCAAAGAGCTAGTTCTTACTAAGGTGATAGCTCCATAACATTCCCAGAAACATTTGCAAAGAGGAATCCTGATAACGAACGAGTGAGGTATTAATTAGGAATAATGAATCTCTAATTGGGGAAACATCAGTCAGTGTAACGAAATGAAGTGACAGGTGTCAGGCAGGGTGGAAAAAATATTTGAGGGCATCTGAGCTGCTTCCAAGGAACAGGGTTGCTGTGCTTGGAAATCTGTTCCCTGACTTCAGCTCCTTTCAGCTGTCCCTTTCTGTTTCGGGTTCATCTCTCCTTCCAGTTTGGATTGGTAGATTTTCCTTTAATCTATCGAACTTGATAGATAGAAGCTTCTGCTTTTGTTTTATGACAGTGCTCACAATAGTGGGAGCTCAAGCTGGAGGAGTAGATAGATAGAAGAAGGGGTCATTTACTTGTATAATTAGCTTGTAATAGCCTAACTCTGGGTTTTAAACCAATCCTTGAAGAATAGCACAAGGCTGAGCAAAAGGAAATTCATTACTCTAAGTAGAGAAATCTTTCCAGATTGAGGAATGGATCTTTTGTAAAGAAAAAGCTGTGTTTTTCACTAAATCTGGGGATGGCCCCATTTAGACTATTCTCAGTTGGTACTGGATGACCTGTAATGTGAAGCAAAGATTAGATATATTCTATTTGACCCCAGGGAGCAGAACTAGGTGCCAGATTTGGAAATTGCAAAGAAACAATTTGTAATTGCAATTAGCTATGGAAGGGAGGAGAAGGCTCCCTAGCAGAGGAAGACAGGGAGTCTTCAAGCAAAGGCTGGATGCCCACTTCTTGGGCTGAGGGGCCTTGAAGCCAGTAGGACCTTGTTTCAAGTCCTGCCTCTGACACACAGGGCTGTGTGACCATAGGGAAATGACTTAACCTCTCAATGCTTTCTGCATTCTCTAATAGTAAAAGGTGCCAACCTGCTTTGGTGGTGGGAGTTTCCTCATGTGAGAGATCTCTCTACTAATGACTTCACAAATCCAGCCCCAGAACCTCCGTATGGTTGCTGTACGGTTTGACCTCTGAGATGTTGTGATTTTGTAATCTCAACAAAATGGGCAAACTTTCTGGATGCCTGGCTTTTCAACAGGATTTCCAAGGCACTTGCTCTGACTTCCTAATACACATGTTACCAATACACAGTGTGGCAGAGTAGAAAGGGCTCAAAATTGTAGTCCTAATTTGGCTGGGTGTGAGTAACCTTGGACAATATTTCCTTAGCTTTTCTGGGACCTCTGTTTCCTAAACTGCCAAATGATAAGATTGGCCTCGGGGAGTTCTATAGTTCCTTTTAGTTCTAAAATTCTGTGATTCTAAAGACAGACCAGGAAAGTGTCCTGAATGGTATTTAGCTTTTCTAAGACATTTATGGGTTGTTCTAGGCTTAGAACATGACCATCACCTTTGCCTCCAGAGGGTTCCGCTTCTTTGTCATCATCCTCATCCTCATCCTCATCCTCATCTTTGCTTAGTCCCCAAGCATAGGCAAGCCTTAAACGCTCCTGGGCTTTTTCCAGCTCTTTCTCTAGATCATGGTTTTTCATAAGTGCCTCATTCAGCTTCTCATTTGTTTCTTCATATTTCTCTTCTGCGAGCTGGACACGAACTTCCGTACTCCTGCCATAAGCAAGAGCAGGGATAGGGAGGGCAGGCAGGAAGACAGTGAGATATGTAGAGTTTAAAAGTCTCTTTGGTACAAGAACTTGTCAGTAGAAAGAAAGAATTTGTTAGGGTTATTTATCCATGTGCTTCAAGGTTTCTAAATGGAATCTCACAGTAAGGATGTTTAGAATTCTAGTCCTTATAGAATGGAAAAAAGGAGATACAACTTTCAGTAACCTTTCATTAGGAATAGGGATGGAACCTGTGGTTTCATTCAAATTCCCAACTGAATTTGGGCATCAATTCAAATCCCCTCTACCAATGAAAGTCAGCACCCTCTCTCAAATATATTCTTAGAGAATTATCCAGAATCCTAAGAATTTACATGAATTTCCCATCATCTCACAGCTGGTAGTGTCAGAGTCAGGACTTGAACTCAGGTCTTCCTGACTTTGAGGTTGACTATCCATCCACTATGCCACATTGCCTCTCATTAACCCTTCACTAAAAATTCCTACTACTTCCACTCTTCTAAGTACCACCTCCACTAAGAGTTGGATTTATGGCTTCTTGTAATTCTTGTAATCCCTAATCCAAATCAAATAACTCCCTCTTCCAATATCTTTACTTCCAATTTTTTATCCAAAAATAACCTCTTTTAGAGATGCCCTTCAAATTTGTCAAAAAATAGTTATTGCCTACTAGACAGGGAGGCAGGGAATATAGACTCTATATCATCTAAAATTTGTGCCTCAGGGCAGCTAGATGGCACAGTGGATAGAGCACCGGCCCTGAAGTCAGGAGGACCTGAGTTCAAATCCGCCCTCAGACCAAACTCTTGACACTAGCTGTGTGACCCTGGGCAAGTCACTTAACCCCAATTGCCTTTAAAAAAAATTAAATTTGTGCCTCCCCCAGTGCTCTGCACATAATTGGTGTATAATGAATATTTGTCGAATTGAGTGGTTTGGTTTTGTTCTTCCTCCTTAAATTCTACAGATTCTAGCAAACAATTTGTTTCCCAATAATTCTCACACTTTGTCCCTGGATTGGCCACAGAATAGAAAACTTACAGGTCACTTTACTGGGTCCTTGATACTACCATGGACATTAATTTCACTTCATTCATCCCTCATAGGAGCAAAGAAGGTTTCAATAGGCAAGCATTTGGTAGCGATGGGGCTGGAGAGGCGTGAGCAATCCCCTCCCCTTGTTACTGCAGAGTTGGGAAGCAGCTGTGCCAAAGACCAGCTCCAAAGTGGGCAAACTGAAGCTACCTGCAATACTTTTCCAGTGAATGAAAACAGAGGGATGATTCAAGGTCACAAAAGAAGCCTCTAATTCAATTCCTTTCAACTTATACACTGTCTACAGCTTTCAATCTTTGCTGCATGAAAACATTCCCAGACAGAAGTATGACTATCTTCGCTCTTTTCCCATGGTGGTTCCCAATACTTACAGGAGTTTCTCTTTCAAATGTTCAATTATTGCCAGGGATTCAAGCCTTTCCTTTTCACTGTTGGCGAATTTAGCAAGGGTACTCACTTCTTCCTGACAGAGGAGATGGTAGATACGAAGAGGTGAAGGGTCTCGACAAGGAAAGCGTCAGTTGACTGAGAAGCTCTAGGACAGTTATATTCATAACCTGGTATCTAGTCGTAGCTGGCGGGGATGAGCAACAGAGCACAGCTGCTGATTTGCCAAAGTATCTATTCTATCCAAACGCCAAATCAATCAAGTTTGGGATGACCAGAGCTGAGCTGGATATGAGAACAGGATAATAAAGAAGAGTGTGATGAAGGGGGGCAGCTAGGTGGTGCAGTGGGATAGAGCACCGACCCCGAAGTCAGGAGGACCTGAGTTCAAATCCAGCCTCAGACCAAACACTTGACACTTATTAGCTGTGTGACCCTGGGCAAGTCACTTAACCCCAATTGCCTAAAAAAAAAAAAGTGTGTGATGAAGGGAAGAAAAGGCAAGAAATGAGGGGTTTTCTTTAATGGAATAGTTTGCACAGCATTTAAAATCACAGAATCTTAGTGTTAGAAAAGACTTTTCCCCAATCAGCTGATTAATGTTTCAGAAAAAAACAAATTTTAAAAAGAACATTGGAAATGGGTAGAAAGGGAAAAGAAAAGGAGTTAGGACCCTATATTTGATGAAAAGAGGGAAAGTTAAAGACACAATTAATAGCATTAAAAATAGTGGGGGGAAATTGCTGTTCAAGTAGAGTCAGGAAATCTGGTTTTCCATTCTGGCTCTACCACTTGCTAGTTGCGTGACCACAGCAGCTAGATGGCACCCTAGGCTCTGGGCTTGGAGTCAGGAGGACTGGAGGTCAAATCGAGCCTCAGACGCTTACTTAGCTGGATGACCCTGGACAAGTCACTTAACCTCTGCCTGCCTCAGTTTCCTCAACTACAGAATAATGGCACCTACATGCCAAGGCGACTGTAAGGATCAAACAAGATAATCTCTGTAAAGCGCTGAGCATACTGCCTGGCACATAGCAGGTACTTTTTAAACACTTGCTCCCTTCCCCATGTGACCAGTCACTTTATCTATAAGGACAGACCCCATGGTATAGTAGAATAAATATTATATTTTTAGCCCCTTACCAGTGTGTGACTGTTACCAAACTTAGTTTGGAAACTAAGATGTGTTTTTATTATTGTTTACAATCATCTCAAAGATAAAGAGAATATTGTTCAATACTTCTATAATAATACATACCCCAAATAACAACCCAGCAGAGACTACTCCATTATCACTTGCAGGCCAAGGAGAATGGAGTATGTCCCTTGCTCCCAGGATACTCCTTTGCAAGTTTTCCTTGAAAATTGGTTGTCTGCAAAATGGGAATAAATAACAGCAACGCCTTCCCAGGGTTGTTGTGAGGACAACTTACGATCATATTTGTAACATGCTTTGTAAGCCTTCAAGTTCTAGCTAAATGCTAGCTATTATTTTCATGCTATGCTATCCGCTCCCTCAGTGATGTAGGTGACTGGTCTGCAAGTCACTCTCCCAATTTTTTCAGTGGCTTTAGCACCTAACTCAGTCTTCTTCCTAACTTCATTCTTACTATCATCAACCAATAAAAACTATCTATCAACATGCATTTATTAAGTGTGTACTATGTGCCAGGCACTAGAGTAAGTAATGGGGAGAAAAATACAAGCAAGCAATCCCAGATCTCAATGAGCTTACGTTCTTATGTATGCCCAGCATTTAGCACAGTGCCTGGCACATGGTAGGCATGTAATAAATGCTTATTGACTGACGGACAGACTGACTAATAGGGGAAGATAATAAGAAAAGAAAAGCTTGAACGGGGTTTACATAGTGCCTTGGTTTGATGACCAAGGAAAATGAGAATTACTTCTTAATTCTAAGCCTCCTGCTCCCTCACCGTTCACTATTCATTCATATATTCATTCATTTAATAAGTATTTATTGCGTGCCTACTTTACACAAAGCAATGCCCATCCACTTAGCAGGTAACAAATATAGACTGAGTAGTGCTTATGTCCAAAAGGTCCCACAAATTCTAGAATTATGAATTTTGTCAGGACTTTTACTGTTTTGTGCTGGTACGGACATCTAAATTACACCGTATAATTTTAATTACCAGGTATTGTTGTCATTTTCCTAATTTTATTCCCAATAAGAATTTGGCCCTGGGAAGTCCCACATCTACTGTGGCAGTCATGTTCTCCCCCTGAGTCCAGAGGGGAGCTCTGAGGAAATGCCAGACTCTCTGTAGTTCACAGAGAATGGTTGGCTTTCTGTCCTCTAGCATCCCCTCTCTCTGAGTGGTCATCCCCGAATCGGTCGAAGGGATGTGGCTGGTGTGGATTTCTATAATTAGGATGACTCCGAGCCCCTGCCGTCTCTTGTCTGCATATGCTGTATTAAACTAAGCCCTAGACACGAAGGCATGCTAGAATGAATGGCATCTGCCTTACACTCCACCAGACAAACATGGATACAGTACGTGATGTTTTGACTCGAGGCAAAGAATCAACAAAAATAATAAAATCAGAAATGCATTTCAACAGCTTCTGTACTCCTGAACATACAGAGTAGCTGGTCCTAGATTTCCTACAACTTATCTAGCATATTCCAAATCGAGGGGTTTTAGAAAAGGTCGCACCCAGGTATTTTTAACAATATAGGTTGCTTTCTCTCTTTCTAGAGCAAGCAAAGGGGTTCATGTAGTAAAACAGTATTTCCAAATGTTGATTCACCCATGGCCTCCATGAGGGTCAGGTCATGATCAGTTTTAAGGGGGAGGAAGGATGGAGGGAGGCACAGGTACTGATTCCCAATGCCAAAATTTTTCTGTCTAGGGTCGACCTCTAGTTCTGTTCCAAACTTACTGGTCTATTGTCTGGGATGTGCAGGATTCTGATTGATCCTCCTGGTTTATTCATTGTTGGTGGAGTGCTGGATATAGTGAAGGACAGGCCAACTTCAGAGTGAGACTTTATCTGTGTAGCCCATTCACCATCTGGCCTTCTTTGTCTCTCTGTGTCTTTGAACTCCCCGGTCTACAGATCGACCCTTAAAGTTAGTACCATGTCATCTCTACCCCAGCTACCTCATGTCTTTTCATCTCAGTTTTATGAGTGTGGTTCACAGATCATCAGATAGGGATGGATATATAATCCCTGTTAATATTGGATAGAATCAACTAAACCCATCTCTTCTTCCTGTATATCTATAGATTGGAAGGATACATTGATGCCTGTAGACCTGAGAAATCGGTGATGGAAAAAAAAGAGGGAAAGACCGAGAACTAGATTCCACACAACCTAGTAACTAAGGAATGAAGCTTAAATTTAAAGATGAAAAGTAAAACAATTAAGTGAGGGTGACTCCTAAGTTTGGAAAGGAAGAAAATGTTGTGGGGCACTTTGAAGAGAAGAAAAGATTAAATGAGAGAACATGTAAAATGCTTTATAAATGCTGGTGAGGGGTAGTAGTAGTAGTAGTAGTAGTAGTAGTAGTAGTAGTAGTAGCAGGGGTAGTAGTAGTAGTAGTAGTAGTAGTAGTAGTAGTAGTAGTAGTAGTAATTAGTAGTACTAGTAGTAAAACACATTATATAGGGCCCTAGAACTTTGAAAGGGGCTCAAAATTTTAATAAGAATAGCTAGCTTTTTATATAGTATTTATTAAGTGCCAGGCACTGTGCTAAGCACTTTACAAATATTATTTCATGTGATCCTCACAACAACCCTGGGAGGTAGATGCTATTATTATTATTATTCTCATTTTGCAGAGGAGGAAACTGAGGCAGACAGAGGTTAAGTGACTTGTTCAGGGACACGCAGCTGGTGTCTGAGGCTAGATTTGAACTTAGGTCTTTCTGACTCCAGACACAATGCTTCATCCACTGTGCTGCCTACCTCCCCAGAAAGGGGTAAGAGGGAAATGAGAGGGGAAAGCAATGAGGTGAAGAAAAGGAAGACATAAGAGATAGGGTAAGACTCTCTGCCAGGTGAAGGGATGACAGGAGGAAAAAACCTTCCATTTCTCAATGGTCAGGCTCACAACTTGCCAGAGACCTGCGAGAAGATGACTTCCCCCAGGATCAAGAAATACACATACATGGGGCAGCTAGGTGGTGCAGTGGATAGAGCACCAGCCCTGAAGTCAGGAGGACCTGAGTTCAAATCCGTCTTCAGACCAAACACTTGACACTTACTAGCTGTGTGTCCCTGGGCAAGTCACTTAGCACCAATTACCTAAAAAAAAAGGAAAAAAAAGAAAAAAAACCCTCTACACATACAAATATTATGGTGGGAATTTCCTGCAATATTACAGCTGGGTTTGGTGTAAGGCATTTGTGATGGGATTGCAAAGTTACAAAGAGGGAGGGCAGTGCCTCTGGTCAATCTAGCATTCAATAGAATTAAATGAGATGATATTTGTGAAGTGGCTGGCATATAGCAGGTACTTAATAAATGCTTATTCTTATTCCATCCCTATCCCAATATTATTGAGTTAAATGGATGTAATCTAGACACCTACCTCTGTAGGTGACAGTTTTTCTATCTCTAGAGGTCTGGAATGGATGTTTTGATCTGTTCCAAGATATCGAACAAGGATTGTCTTTGGAGGTGGAGAAACCTCATCCTCCTGCTGAAAGGAGATGCAGAGTCGATCACCGAGAGCATCACTGCAAGTTTTCGGGCCCACCCCATTTCCATTGTCTGTTGTCACACTCTCCCTGAACATTCTACCCATCATCTTCCTCAGAATCTCAGTTTCCCTCAATTGCCTTACCTCTGAGCCTTCTTTTGGAGACTCCTCTGTCTCAAGTATCTCTTCCAGCTGTTTGTATGCCATTTCCCCAAAAGTCTTCTCCCATCCGCTCACGTTGTAGTTCTTGTCGTCCACGTCTAGCTGCCACGTAAAGCAAAGCAATGAATATAATTATGGATTTGGAGCATTCAGTGCACATGGTTATGTTCGTAACATGTTACATTAATATAAGCAGTGTGGTGAAACAGAAAGGCTCAGGAGTGCTTCCAGGAGAGAGAAAAATTCAAATCCTCCAGTACTGTGTCAGTTAGACACTTCCTAGCTGTATGACCATGGGCCAAGACACTTAATCCTTCAGCCTGTGTTGTTTCATCTGTAAAATGGGAATAATAATTGTGCCTACCTCATAAGGCTGTTTTGAGGATCAAATGAGAAAACGTACGTAAAGCACTTTACAAGGACCTTAAAGTACTATATGAATGCTAGCCATTGTTATTCTTATTCTTATTAATTATACACAATCATTTGTAACAGCGGGCAAATTATTTATCTTCTCTGAACCTCAGTTTACACATCTGTAAAATGGGGATAATAAAACATCCAGTAGCTACCTCACAGAGCTGTTGTGAAGATCAAATAAAATAATGTATATATAAGTGCTTCACAAACTTTAAAGTGCTGCATAAATGTCATCTATTATTAGCATGATGAATAGAAATAACAAGTGATGTTTGAAATAATTGTCATAGGAATGTTTGAGTAGGACAACATTTCTACCCCTGAGGCTATGTGCTAACCATTCAGTCAGGGTTTGGGGCAAGGAGACTTTTGGGAGGAAGATGGAATTTTAATGAAGATCCCTGCTCTAGTTAAGACACATAAGGTAAGGGGGCAGCTAGGTGTCGCAGTGGATAGAGCACCAGCCCTGAAATCAGGAGGACCTGAGTTCAAATCCGGCCTCAGACCAAATACTTGACAGGTACTAGCTGTGTGACCCTGGGCAAGTCACTTAATCCCAATTGCCTAAAAAAAAAAAAAGACACACATGGTAAGATTCAAGAGTAGCTGGAGACTACCATGGCAGGATACAAAGAACCAGAGATGCCAAGATAGCCTTGGGGCTCTTTGGGGCAAGGAGCGAAAATACCTGAGAGGCCAGGACACTCTGGAGATCAACTGAGATTCCATGAAGTGGAGGTGGCTTTGACAGAAATGGGGAGGTTTAGAAAAGGGGTGGATTTTAGGGGGAAATATGTTAATTTCTGTTTTGCAAATATTGAGTTGAGATGTCTCTGGGACATCCAGTTTGAGATGGCGACTGGTCATGAGGGGTTAAAGTTTACGAGGAACAATGGAGCTGAGTACATAGATCTGTGAGTCTTCTGCCCAGCGATATTATTTAAACCAACAGAAGCTGGTGAGGTCTTTGAGAGAATGAGTAGAGACAGAAGAAGGCCCAGGACAGAGTCCAGTTAGGGGTTGTGATAAAGATGATGAGTATTGGTAAAGGGCCAGAGGAGGTATATAGAAAATTTTTTTAAAGTATATAATAAATTCAATAAGTTACTTTCAGAGCTGTCTTGCTTGTCTATGTTTCTTTCTGGAATTTCTTCTGTTCCTTTCAGTGCATTTAAAAAATAATGTTTTAATGTCCCTCTTTAGTTTCTTTTACTTTTTTTCTGCTTCTAAATTTTGGCAACACTATTGCCAGCTACCCCAACCAATTACTCCCCTGCCCCTAATAAAAAAGGAAAATACAATTCTTGTAACAAATAAAAATAGTCAAGCAAAACAAACCCACACATTTGCCATGTCCAAAAATGTAAATTTCATTCTGCCCCTTGACTCCATTACTTCTTTGTTAAAAGGGGCAGAATGATTCATGATTGGTCTTCCTGGGTCATGGTTGATCAGTGTTCTCAAGTCTTTCAAGGTTTGGTTTGGTTTTTTTGGGGGGGTTTTTTGTTTGTCTTTATGATGTTATTATATATATATGTATATGTATATATCTCTTGAGTCTAGAAACTTCACTGTGCCCCAGTTCATACAAGTCTTCCTAGGCTTCTCTGAAAGTACCCCTTTTCATCATGATGTCTTACAGCACAATAATATTCCATTGCATACATATACCATACTTTATCCAGCCATTCCTTAATTGTTGGGTCCCACCTTCCAGAAGAACCCTTTCCCAGACCTCTTTAATCTTAGTGCCTTTCCTCTCAGATTACCATGAATTTAACTTTTACATATCTTATTTGTACCTAGTTGTTTGCAGGGTGTATTCTTCATGGGACTAGGAGCTCCTTGAGAGCAGGGATTGTCTTTTACTTGGTTTTACCTGCCTTTGTATCCTCGGTGCTTAGCCCAGTACCTGGCACAGAAGAGGCACCTAATAAATGCTTGCCAACTTGACTGTTTCCAGTTCTGTTGCAATTTTTTTTAAAAGCTGCTATAAATACTGTTATACCTATGGATCTTTTCCTCTCTCTAATGTCTTTGAGTTGTATGTCTAGTAATGATATAGCTTGATCAAAGAATACATACAGTTAGGGACTTTGGGGGTATAGTTACAAACGGCTTTATGGAATGACAAATATAGCTCTACCTACAAAGCACCAGTGTACCTGTTCTCCTGTCCCTCCAACAGCTGCCATTTTTCATTTTTGTTATCTTTGCCAATCTGATATATGGGAGGTAAAAAAAGTCAGAGTTGTTTAAACTTATATTTCTTTAGTTATTAGTTTTATATGGCTGTCAATTGGTGGATTTCTTCGTTTAAGGATTATCTCCTAAAATCCTTTGGCCATTTCTTGATTTGTGAATAGCTGCCATTCTTATATATTTGAATTAGTTTCTTACAAATCTTGAATAGCAAACCTTTATCAGAGAAATTTGCTGCAAAGATTTTTTCCCACTTGTTTTCCTTCAAATTTTCAAAAACAATATTTTATTTTTCCCCCAATGACATGTAAAGAGAATTTTAAGTATTCTTTTTTAAAATTTTTGAGCTCCAAATTCTATCCTTTCTTTCCTCCCTCTACCTTCTTTGAGATAATAAGCAATTTGATATAGGTTATACATGTGCAATCATGTAAAACATATTTCCATGTTAATCATTTTGTGGAAGAAAACTTATCCCCAAAAAATAAAAGAAAGAAGGAATGAAAGTGAAAAATAATATCCTTCGGTCTGTATTCAGACACCATCAGTTCTTTCTCTGGAGGTAGATAGCATCATAACTCTTTTGGGATTGTCCTTGATCATTGTACTGCTGAGAATAGTTCAGTCATTCACAGTTGTTCATCACACAGTAGTACTGTTACTGTGTACGATGTTCTCCTGGTTCTGCTCTCTTCATTCTGCATCAGTTCATGTAAGCCTTTCCAGGTTTTTCTGAGAGCACCTGCTCGTCATTTCTTATAGCACAATAATAATATCCCATCACAATCACATACCACAGCTTGTTCAGTCATTCCTCAATTGATGGATATCTTCTCAATTTCTAATTCTTTGCCACCACAAAAAAAAATGCCACTATAAATATTTTTGTAAATATAGGTCCTTTCTCCCTTTTTTATTTTTATCTCTTTGGTATACAGACTTAGTAGTGGTGTTGCTGGGTCGACAGTTTTATAGCTCTTTGGGCACAGTTTCAAATTGCTCTCTAGAAGGGGTGGACCAGTTTACAACTCTACCAACAGTGCATTAGTATCCCAGTTTTCCCACATCTTCTCCAATATTTGTCATTATCTTTTTCTGTCATATTAGCCACTCTGATAGGTGGCTACCTCAGAGTCATTTTAACTTATATTTCTCTAATCGGTAGTGATTTCGAGCATTTATATGACTATAGATAGCTTCAATTTCTCCTTCTGAAAACTGCTTATATTGCTTGACTATTTGTAAATTGGGGAATTACTTGTATTCATATAAGTTTGACTTTGTTATCTATGTATTTGAGAAATGAGGCCTTTATCAGACATATTTGCTGTAAAAAAAAAATTCCCTCAGTTTTCTGCTTTCTTCTAATTTTGGTTGCATTGGTTTTGTTTTTGTTTTAATTTAATATAATCAAAATTATCCATTTTACATTTCATAAAGATATTTCTGGTTTGGCCCTAAATTCTTCCCTTCTCCACAGACCTGACAGGTAAACCACTCCATGCTCCCCTAATTTGTGTAAATCATGTACCCATTTTGAACTTATCCTGGCATATAGTGTGAGATATTGGTCTATATCTAGTTTCTGCCATACTGTTTTTCAGTTTTCCCTGCTGTTTTTATCAAATAGTGAGTTTTTGTCCCCAAAGCTTGATCTCTGGGTTTATCAAATGCTAAATTACTACGGTTCTTTACTATAACGTATAGAGTGTTGTTATTGTTGTTGAATCATTTCAGTCATGTCTGACTCTTCCTAACCACATTTGGAGTTTTCTTGGCAGAGATGCTGGAGTGGTTTGCCATTTCCTTCTCTAGCTCACTTCACAGATGTGAAACTGAGGCAAACAGAGTTAAGTTTGCCCAGGATCACGCAGCTAGGAAGTGTCTGAGGGTTGTTGTGAGGATCAAATGAGATAATATTTGTAAAGCACCTAGCACAGTACGTGGCAAATAGTAGATATTTAATAAACGGTTGTTCTCCTTGCCCCACCTTGCATCTTCCTGATTATCAAAATTCAGTCTTCTTTCTATTATATCATATTTACCCAAAGCAAAAATAGTAATAAACAATTATTTCTAACAAATACCTCATACTCATTCAGGCTTTTTGTATCTTCACTTGTCAACAAAGTGACTTTTCTTCCTTTCATCTCAGAAAGGAGGAGATTACACGTAGTAACCCAGTCGATGCATTCTTTCTAGGAGGAGATAATTGATTGAAATATATAATTTATTAAGTAGGAAAAGTAAACATCTCATTCATTTATTCATTCAATTGTTCACTTATTCAACAAATATTTACTAGACATTTCCTATTTTAGGAAATAATTGCATTTCAGCTCCACAGATAATTAGAAAGAACTTTGTCTTAAAAATTTGAAACTCCTTCTTAAACTGTTCATATACAAGAAGACAAATGATATAGAGCCATAGTCACCCATGGACGGCAGCAGCTTCAAGAAGCATAATCTGGTCCTGGACCTTATAGTCTTGTTCAACCATAATACATTATTATGAACTTAAAATACATGAACATCTCAATATTCAAATAAAAAAGGACTAGATATGAAACCATAAACCATTATATACAACATCTTTTTTTTCTTTTAAATGTATATTAAATTTAACATGATAATATTAGCAGTTTCTGGCTTGTCTGACTGTCCTTTTACCATCAGAGGAATGAATGGCCCAGGTCAGCACAGTCCGTCCCAATTTTCTAAGCTAACTTAGCTTGGCCTGTGGCAAAAATAAGTGACAGAATATTGAATCTTACTCCTAAATAATCAGGAAGATCATTGCCTGTTCCCATTGCCCCTGGGATTTGAGTAGGAATGAATCTTGCAGCCTGAAATAGCAGCAGAGCCATCTCGGCAATATATATGGGGCACTTCCTGTTTCATCACAAACTAAGAAGTCACCCTACACAGTTCTTGAAGCTCTTCTCCCAGCCTTTGTACCATCTCAAGCAGGCTCTCTAGGGGTATGAGGGAAGTAGCCTTCCTGCTAATATTAGTATTATTGTCAGGGTCTCCCTCACCTATAACACAAACATACCCTAAGGGAAAAGGAAATGGCCTCAAAAATGTTATCCCTGGTGCTTAGCAAGACTTAGAACACTTGACTAATCACTGTTCCTACTGGTATTACACAACAGGACCAATAGAAACCCTGAACAGAGAACAGCTGAAGAGACACCAGATTACTGAGGGGAAGCCATATAGGAGACGCCCTAGTAAGCTTCCCTTTCTGAATGGGATAGTCTTCATCAAGGCACAAGAAATCACATAGAGGTCAAAATGCTCCTGAGCCATGCTGCTTCTCTGGCAGTAAAGTCCCACCCTGTTTCTACCCTTTTGTGCCTGTCCATGGGATAATGGGGCTAGTCTAGAGATTAGCACTGGGGCTAGTTCCCAATACCATTTACCTTGGGGCCCTTCCCACCTCCAAACAAGTTGGCTGGATTCATCTGGGAGACCGGAACACTGAAGGTTCCATCACAGCTGCAATCTATTTAAAACTTTGAGTCTGATTTATTCTATAAGCTTCTGCCACTCTTGGTACCCCCTTGATTGATGGCTGGGAATTGTCATCTTCTTTTTCCCCTGTTCTCTTTCCCTAAATTTTCAGGGAGTCCCTGATCTTCTGCTAACACATGTCTCCTTATGCTTTAACTTTGCATTTCTACTCATGTTTCCTGGTGCCAAATGAAACCAGTTTTCTCCTGATGACTACATCCCTTGCCAATAAGTCCATAAGTATTTGTTAAATGTCCACCATGTGTCAGGAACTGTGCTAAGTGTGGAGGATAACAGCAAAAACAGTCACTGCTCTCAAGGAGCTGACATTTTAATGGGAAGACAACATGCAGTACATAAAGTGCATACACAATAAGTATTGAATAGATTGTTGGTGATCTCACAGGGTAAAATCATTAGCAGGTAAGAAGGAAGGAGAAAGGCCCCCTATAAGTGGGATTTGAGCTAAGTCATAAAAAAAAAAGCCAAGCAAACTAAGAGGCAGAAATGAGGAGTGAGAGCATCCCAAGCATAGGAAACAGTCAAGGCAAAGGTGCAGAGATGGAAAAAGGAGGGTCGTGTTCAAGAAACAGGACGTAGGCCAATGAAGCTGAATCCTAGAGTATATAAAAGAGAAGTAAGGTGTAACAAGACTGGAAAGATAAGAAGGGGCTGGATTGCAAAGAGCTTGAAATGCCAAACAGGGGACTTTGTCTTGGATTCGTGAGTTAACACGAAACCACAGAAAACCTTTTAAATGCTAGCTGCTCCTTCTCTTGAGATTCCAGACTCAGTATATCAGGAGGAGGGTTGGGTATGCTCCCTATTGCCATTTATAGAACCCTTGCTCTGCCACCATCATCAACAATCCCTTTGGAAATTCAGGCTGATTGCATCACTCTATCCTGATTCTTGCCATTATCACCTTTTGACTTCCAGAACAACTGTTCCTTCCTCCATGTTTAACGGCTAGTTTGAAGTCTTCTTCTCCACCCCAAGCCCTGTAATAATTCCTGATGATTTTAATATTCATAATTATAACGGGTATACTCAGGAGGATCTTCCCTTTATATGCAGCTCTGGCTAGACAGAGTACATCTCATCCGGTATGCCTAGACATGGACCTCTTATGGTGACACATGAGCCATGCTTGGAGCTGAATCCCTTCTGGTGACACATTTGCCACTAACACTTTTTGGTGGACCCCTTCATACAAGACAGGAACAATTAGGAGTTTATGATTGGGCCCTAATGCTATCTTTCTACTGGCATCCTATCTCTGCCCCACAACATCCACCCCTCCGTTGCATTAAAGCTTTGTCAGAAAGGATTGGCCACTAAAGCAAGAAGAGTTGCCTCAGTAGACCTTAAAGGAATGATAGAACAGGTACTTAACCAGGTGAGCCCAAGTCAGGATCTCCAGGCCCTGACCATCTCTTCTGGTGTGTGCTTCTTGAGATGGGCATTTCCATTACAGGAGACAACCTTGTGAATTTAAGAGATTGGGAGCTCCAGAGAATTAGTAATCCGCTTTTCTTTTTTATGGCCTGCCTAAGAGCCATTAATTTTTATTATTCGGGGATCAGGGTCATTCTTCCTGCAACCTTTGGTTAACTTCTACTAATATTAACCTCACCTCACCAAAATCTGACTCCTAGAATAAGAGTGTTAAGTGCATAAGATAGCAATATGTAAAAGAATTTTTTCTCTGTCACTCCGATGTAATTTTGTCTATAAGAGGCCTTGTTAAAATCCTAATGGTCATTCAGGTTTTACTTGATTAATCTTAAATGTTTAGGTTTTTTTTTTGTCTGAGATCTGAATCTATGATTAAGCATAATAAAACCTAGGTGTTTATCTCTGTAATTTCTAAGTTGTGGTAGATGCAAATTTGGCAGGTAGATAAAAATTTGGTCAAATGAACTCAGAAAGGAAATATTTCTCCCCAAACACTCAAAAACAACTATTGCACAAGGTAATTACCCCAATTTTCTTTATATGGATCCAAATTCTGCCTCTCTGTAGCTTCTACCCATTGGTCCTACTTAGTTCTACCTCTTGGGGCAAAGCTAACAAATCTAATACATCTTCTACCTGAAAGTCCTTCAAAAACTTGAAGATGACACAGCACAATGTCTGACACATAGTAAATGCTTAACAAATTCTTGGTGATTTACTGACACCATGAAGATGCATAGTAATAAAGTTGGACATGTCACTCTAACGGATGTAACACTGGTTTTTAATTTTTTTCATCAAAGAAATAGCTACTAGAACACTATTTACCATGGGCAAAGATGAAGCTATATAAGAATAAATATAGGAAATATTTAGGTTATTTTATCTAGGTACAAAGTATGTGCTCAGTAAATTTCTTTACCTTTCTTTAAAATCTGTGAACCTTATCATCTATTCACCACCTAGATAACCATCAACTTATGGCTTCATAAGTATACAGAATATATTGCTAATCTATTTGAGCTACTTTGGTACCCACAATTATCTTCTCTTAATATAAAATTATACCATTAGAATTTCATTCATTTAGACAAAAGATTCTTATTAAATACAGATTAATCTAAAAGGAATAACACATTGAGTCATTGTCACTCACTTATTATGAATTAACAGATCCTTTCCAACTGACAGCTAGCTGAGAACAGCTTCAAGGAGGAATGATACATAAAAGGTAACTTTTGACATAGGGGAAGAGTGGCAATAGAGTTTTTAAAGCTAGGGTTGTGCTCAGGAAAAGAATGAATGGGTAGGATGTCATAGCCTGGACAAGTATGTCACCAAAGGCACCTGAGAGAGAGAGAAAAGTTTGGGAAGGGAGATAGAAAATTGTAGAAGGCTGAGTTTTCATACTCCAGCTGTTTCTGGAGATCAAATGAGTTAAAATGAAAGCATGTTTCTAATAATAATGATAATAATTAGCATTTACATAGTGCTTTAGGGCTTGCAAAGCACTTTACAAATATTATCTCATTTTATCTTCGTAATAACCCTGGTAGGTAGGTGCTATTATTATCCCCATTTTAAAGATGAAGAAAATGAGGAAGAAAAAGGTTAAATGACTTCATTTCCCACCCAGCTAATCTCCTGGATTTCATGATTTCCAGAAACTCATCATTCAACAAGATGAAATCAATTATTCTTATATTCAAACTTCCTCAGTAATCCCCATCCCCTGGAGCTTTTTCTTCCTTCTCTTTAAAAAGAATAAGGATGGGGTGGACATCTGAACTCTGTTTGAGTAGACCCCCCCCCACACACACACACACTTTTCACCTTCTTTTCATGGATCATCTCCCCTATTGGTTTGTGAACTCCTTGAGGGCAGGGGCAGGGGTAGAGTTACACAGCTAATAAGGCAGAAGTTTAACCCACGTCATTCTGACCCCAAGTCCGGTGCTCTGTTCACTACACCATTTAGTGATCTTTTTTCTCTTTCAGAGAAAAAAACAATGTGAAAAAAAATAACGTTTTGATGACCTGAATGGGAAGAACCAGGAATAATTTGGAAAGCTGCATGGCATCCATGGCATGGATACTTTGTTCTAAAGTCACCTTTAGAATTTTAGATATTTAGCCTTTGGGATTTAGCAGAGCTTTTGGCATTTTGTTTTATTGGACAGAAACTTTGGAATCCTTGCTGGGCTCTAAGCTTCCCAAGTGAATTATTCCTAGACTAATTCTGTTACTACACTCTAGAGTAAAATGGATAAGAATTGCTTTATTAATGCATATATTGAAAGGAAGATTACCTTAATCTTTGTCAGATCCTCGATATCATTATTAACGGTTTGATTGACGAAACTTGTTTTCTTCATAGCCGTTGTTGCCACCGTGCTTTTGCAACAACTGAGGAAACAGAACATTCCTGAAGTGTGAGCATTATTGGAACGTTTTACTGGCTTAAATTTAAAAAAAAAAAAAAAGAGAGTTTACTGCAGCAATCAACAATTTTTTAATACTGACCTAGCAAAGAAAAAAATTAATACTGACCCTCTAGGGTAGTGAATTTGTGTATCTTGTCTACCACTTGGTATTGGTATATGTATGTATGTGTGTGTATATATACATGTGTGTATAAATATATGCATATATGTGTATGATGAGAGAGAGAGAGAGAGATTGAGAAAGATGGAGACTGAGAGCCTAAATCCTAATGGTTGAGAACTCAACTTCCTGAATTTGAGTCATTATTATTATTAGGTTTTATTAGGTATTTATTAAATATTTACTATTTAGCGAATCCTCATTTCAGGAACTAGTTCCTTAAGTTGGGTAAGATGCCGTAGATTATATGATTTGTTAAATTATACATTATATACATAAATTATACATTAAAAAGGATACTCAGACCATTATTTTTTGGTTGACTAAAGTAAAAATGTCAGTTATGTGGTGGAAGAAATATCCCATTTTTGAGTCCATGTGGTAGGTTACTGCTGCTGCTGAATATACCTATCATAGCACAGAAATTATAGAAGTAAAAATCTAAGTTTTATTATGCTTAAGCACAGGCTTAGCAGGTAGAAAAAGAACCCTGAACAAAGATTAGGACTTTAAGGATGCTTTTTTATAGGCAAAATTATGTCAGAGAGACAGAAAAAATAATTTTTGACATGTAGCAATCTAGTACATCTTCTTAGGCCATAAAAGTTGAACAAATTTAGTACTTCCTCTTAGGCCATAAAAACTGAACAAAATTAAGTCAGGTTACAGATTAAACTACATTTAGAAGGTTCACAATGTGTTGATTGAGAGGGGAGATTTACATTCCTCAAAAATAATTACAGAGTCAGAACCAATAGAATCACGTCACAATAGTTAGCTAAATCACCTCAGGAAACTCAAAACTCCTTTTTGGCTTCTCATCTGAGGAATATCAAAAAGTCTTCCCTTAATATTATCATTCCATGAATCAGGTTTTAGGTAGGCGAAGTTAACATTAACAGAAAACAGGATTCAGTTAGCCAAAATGATCCTGGAGTTCACATAATACAAATTAATAAAGGGAAATTAAAAATTATCATGACAGCATCTTGAGTTTTACATGAAGTGAACAGGAAACTAGAAACTTTCTATAGAATACTCATTAGTTACCTGAGTTAAGGTACCTTTCAAAGGACTCAAAATAACCATACCCACAATTCCACTGATTAACCGCTCTATTTCTTACCCAATGCCAATTTCTTTTTTTTATGATTACAGCTTGATAGTATAGCTTGGGCAGCTAGGTAGCACAGTGGATAAAGTGCTGGGCCTGAAATCAGGAAGACTCATCTTCATGAGTTCAAATCTGGCCTCAGACACTTATTAGCTGTGTGATGTGGGCAAGCCACTTAGAATTCTGTTTGCCTCAGTTTCCTCTTCTATAAAATGAACTAGAGAAGGAAATGGCAAACCACTACAGTATCTTTGCCAAGAAAACCTCAAATGGGGTCACCAAGAGTTGTAAATGACTGAAACTATTGAACAAATGTGGTTTGGGATCTGGTACTGTTAGTCTCCTTTTGCATTTTTTTCATTGCTTCTCTTAATATTCTTCACCTTTTGTTGCTTCAGGTGAAATTTTGTTATTTTTTTCTAGCTTTATAAGGTAATCCTCTGGTAATTTGATTGGCATGGCACTGAATAAGTACATTAATTTAGGTAGTATTGTGTTTTTATTATATTGGCTTGGCCTACCCACGAGCAATTAATATTTCTCCAATTATTCGTGTTCACATAGTTCCTGTGTGCATTTCTTAGCAGGTAGACTCCCAAGTATTTTGTACTATCTGTAGTTATTTTAAATGGAATATCTCTTCCTGCTGGGTTTTGTTGATATACAGACATGTGTGGGTATATATTATATCTTTCAACTTTGCTGAAGTTGTTCATTTTTAGTTGACTCTCTAGGGTCCTTTAAATAAATCATCTTATTATCTGCAAAGAGTGATATTTTGTTTCCTCACAGCTTTAGGTTTATTCCTTCAATATCTTTTTTCTGTCTTATTGTTATAGGTAAAATTTCTATCAGAAATGTAATAGTGATAATGTATATCTTGGCATTACCCTTAATCTTAGTAGAAAGGTTTCTAGCTTATCTCCCTTATAGATAATGCTTGATTTTAAATATAGATATTACTTATCATTTTAAGGAAAACTCTTTATTCTTGTACTTTCTAATATTTTAAACTGGGGTGGATGTTATATTTTGTTCTGCATCTATTGAAATAATCATATGATTTGTGTTGTTTATATTGTTTTTCTCTTTTTATAAATTTTTATATATTTTTTTAAAATTTATTTTTAGTTTTTAACATTCACTTCCACAAGATTTTGAGTGCCAAAATTTCTCCCCATCTCACCCCTCCCCCCACCCCAAGACAGCTTGCATTCTGAATACTCCTTCCCCTAATCTGCCCTCCCTTCTACCCCCCTCTTCTCTTATCCCCTTCCCCTTCTATTTTCCTGTAGGACAGGATAGATTTCTATACTCCATAGCCTGTATATCTTATTTCCCAGTTGCATGTGAAAACAATTTTTAACATTTGTTTTTAAAACTTTGGGTTTCCCAATTGATATGGTCAAATGATATGAACAGGCAGTTCTCAGATGAAGAAATTAAAGCCAGCTATAATTATATGAAAAAATGATCTATATCACTATTGATTAGAAAAATGCAAATCAAAACAACTCTGTGGTACCACATCACATCTATCAAATTAGCCAATATGACAAAACAAGAAAATGATAAATGTTGGAGAAGATGTGGAGAAATTGGAACACTAATACATTGTTGATAGAGTTGTGAACTGATCCAACCATTCTGGAGAGCAATTTGGAACTATGCCCAAAGGGCTATAAAAATGTGCATACCTTTTGACCCAACAATACCACTTCTAGGGCTGTATCCCAAAGAGATCATAAAAATGGAAAAAGAACCCACATGTACAAAAATATTTATAGTAGCTCTTTTTGTGGTGGCAAAGAATTGGAAACTGAGAGGATGCCCATCAATTGGGGAATGGCTGGACAAGTTGTGCTATATGAATGTAACGGAATACTTTTGTGCTATAAGAACTGATGAGCAGGCAGACTTCAGAAAAACCTAAAAAGACTTGTATGTTCTGATGCTGAGTGAAGTGAGCAGAACCAGGAGAACATTGTACACAGTAATAGCCACAATATGTAATGACTGACTTTGATAGACTTATCTCTTCTTAGCAATGCAAGGATCTAAGACAATTCCAAAAGTCTCCTGATGAAAAATGCTATCCACATCCAAAGAAAGAACTATGGGGTTTGAATGCAGATTGAAACATACTATTTGCCATTTTTTTCTTCTGTTTTATTTTTATTTTTTTTGTTTCCTCTTTCTTGTGGTTCCTCCTATTGGTTTTAATTCTTCCTTACAACGTGACTAACGTAAAAACCAGTTTAATAGGAATGTATAAGTAAAGCTTATATCAAATTGTGTGCTGTCTTAGGGAAGAAGGGAGGGAGGGAGGGAAAGAAAAATTTTGAACTCAAAAATTTATGGAAGTGATTGTTGATAAATCAAAATAAATTAATAAAAAAAAATTTAAAACTTTGGGTTCCAAATTTTCTCCCTTCCTCCCTTCCCACCCACCCTCATTGAGAAGGCAAGCAACTTGACACAGGTTATACATGTATAGTCACACAGAACACTTGCATAGTAGTCATGTTGTGAAAGACTAACTATATTTCCCTTCATCCCATCCTGTCCCCCATTTATTCTATTCTCTTTTAATTCTGTCCCTCCTTAGAAGTGTTTGCTTCTGATTACCCCCTCCCGCAATCTGCCCTCCCTTCTATCATCCCCACCCTCTCTTATCCCTTCCCCCCTATTTTCCTGCAAGGCAAGATAGATTTCCATACCCAATTGAGTGTGTATGGTATTCCCTCCTTAAGCCAAATCCAATGAAAATAAGATTCACTGGAGCAACTAGGTGGCGCAGTGGATAGAGCACCGGCCCTGGAGTCAGGAAGACCTGAGTTCCAATTTGGTCTCAGACCACACATTTGATACTTCCTAGCTATGTGACCCTGGGCAAGTCACTTAACCCCAACTGCCTTGCCAAAAGAAAAAAAAAAAGAATATAAGATTCACTCATTCCCTCTCACCTTCCCCCACTTCCCCTCCACTGTAAAAGCTTTTTCTTGTCTGTTTATGTGAGATAATTTACCCCCTTCTAACTCTCCCTTTTTCCTTCTCCCAATACAATCCTCTCTCACCCCTTAATTTTATTTTTTAGATATCACCCCCTCATCTTCAACTCACCCTGTGTCCTCTATCTATCAATCTATCTAAACATAGAATTTTTTTTCCCTCCAACTACCCTAACACTGACAAAGGTCGCATGAGTTACAAATATCATCTTTCCATGTAGGAATGTAAATAGTTCAACTTTAGTAAGTCCCTTATGATTTCTCTTTCCTATTTGCCTTTTCATGTTCCTCTTTAGTCTTGTATTTGAAAATCAGATTTTCTATTCAGCTCTGGTCTTTTCATCAAGAATGCTGGAAAGTCCTCTATTTCACTGAATATCCACTTTTTTCCCTGAAGGATTATACTCAGTTTTGCTGGGTAGGTGATTCTTGGTTGTAATCCTACTTGCTTTGCCCTCCAGAATATCACATTCCAAGCCTTCTGATCCCTTAATGTAGAAGCTGCTAAATCTTGTGTTATGCTGATTGTGTTTCCACAATACTTGAATTGCTTCTTTCTGGCTGCTTGCAATATTTTCTCCTTGACCTGGGAACTCTGGAATTTGGCTACAATATTCCTAGGAGTATTCCTTTGAGGATATCTTTCAGGAGGTGATCAGTGGATTCTTTTCCATTTCTATTTTACCCTCTGGTTCTAGAATATCAGGGCAGTTTTCCTTGACAATTTCTTGAAAGATGATGTCTAGGCCCTTTTTTTTTTATCATGGCTTTCAGGTAATCCAATAATTTTTAAATTATCTCTCCTGGATCTATTTTCCATGTCAGTTGTTTTCCCAGTGAGATAGTTCCCATTGTCTTCTACTTTTTCATTCTTTTGGTTTTGTTTTACAATGTCTTGATTTCTCATAAAATCTTTAGCTTCCATTTGCTCTATTGTAATTTTTAAGGAAGTATTTTCTTCAGTGAGCTTTTGGACTTCCTTTTCCATTTGGCCAATTCTGCTTTTTAAGGCATTCTTTTCCTCAAGGGCTCTTTGGACCTCTTTTGCCATTTGGGTTAGTCTGTGTTTTAAGGTGCTATTTTCTTCAGTATTTTTTTGGGTCTCCTTTAGCAAGCTGTTGACTTGTTTTTCATGATTTCCTTGCATCACTCTCATTTCTCTTCCCAGTTTTTCCTCTACTTCTCTTACTTGCTTCTCAAAATCCTTTCTGAACTCTTCTATGGCCTGAGACTGATTCATATTTTCTTAGAGGCTTTGGATGCAGGAGCTTTGACTTTATTGTCTTCTTCTGGTTGTATGTTTTGATCTTCTTTGTCACCAAAGTAAGATTCTACGGTCTGACTTTTTTTTGGTGGTGTTTGCTCATGATCCCAGCCAATTACTTGAGTTTTAAACTCTTTGTTAAGGTAGGGGTCTGCTTCCAGTGTGGAGAATGCACTGTCCCAAGTTTCGGGGGTTTTGTGCAGCTATTTTCAGAGATATTTCTAGGGACCTGTAAATTTTCAGTTCATCCAAGGTAGTATGAACAAGGGCAAGGTGTTTACTCCTTTCCTGGCCTGTGCTCTGGTTTATGAGTAACCACAAGCACTCTTTTCTGTCCTGGAACTGTGAAGAAGATTCTTCCGCCACAAGTTCCACCATGTCAGCACTCCTCTTCACTCCAGAACTGCCACACAGAATTGCGACCCAGATCCAAGAATGGGCAAAGCAAGAGAATCCTGCCTCAGCACCAGCAAAGAGATCTCAGCAAACTCCCTCTGATCAGCCATTTGATTCCCCCTCCATCTGTGGGCTGGAAGCTCTGGAGGCAGCCGCCGTCCCAGGGCTGTGCTGGGACTGGGGCCAGACTGAGCTCCTCTCTCACCACAGTTAGACAGACTTTTCCTACTGACCTTCTAACTTGTCTTTGGTGTTTGTGGGTTGAGAAGTCTGGAAACCACCACAGTGCCCTTTGATTCAATCCCCTTAAGACTGCTCCAGTTTCACTGAGGCTCCTTCTTTGCCTGTGTGGCCTGCACGGCCCAAGCTGAACTGCGCTCCTCTCCCAGCCTTGTGCGATAGACCTTTCCAATCAACTATCCAGGTTGTCTTGGGCTGGAAATTTGTTTCACTCTTTTTTTGTGGCTTCTGCTGCTCTAGAATTTAAGTCATTTTTTTACAGGTATTTGGAGGGGTTTGGGGGAGAGCTCAAGCAAGTCACTGCTTTTACTCTACCATCTTTGCTCTGCCCCCCTGAATTCTGCTTTTATTGTTAATATAGTCAATTATGCTTATAGTTTTCCTAATATTGAATCGGTACTTCGTTCCTTGCACAAATCCAGTGTGTTCATAATGTATGATCTTTGTGATATGTTGCTGTAATCTCCTTGCTAGTATTTTAATAAAATTTTTGTATTAATATTCATTAAGGAAATTGGTCTATGGTTTTCTTTCTCTGTTTTGACTTTCCTTCGTTTAGGTATTAAGACCACATTTATGTCATAGAAAGAATTTGGTAAGATTCCTTCTTTACATTTTTTTTCAAACAATACACAATATTAGAATTAATAGATCTTTAAATGCTTGATAGAATTTGTTTGTAAATCTATTTGGTCTAGGGGATTTTTTTCCTTAAGGAATTCACTTATGGCTTGTTCAAATTCTTTTTTTCAAAGATAGGGTTGTTTAATTCTATATCCTTTCCTGTTAATCTGGAAAATTTGTATTTTTGTAAATATTCACTTATTTCACTAAGATTGACAGTTTTATTGCATGTAGCTGGGCAAAGTAGCTCCTAACAATTGCTTTATTTCATTTTCATTGGTTGTAAATTCACCTTTTCCATTTTTGATACTGGTAATTTTGTTTTCTTATTTCTTTTTAAAAAATCAAATTAGCCAGTGGTTTACCTATTTTATTGCTCTCTCCAAAAAGCCAGCTCCTAGTTTGACAGGGGCGCCCTGGACCCTGGCTTCCTAGGAAGGGTCGTGGTAGACCCCCGGCCGTAGGTTGCTGAGTTACGCTCAGCTGATGGTTACGGGGTGGCTCCGCCTCTAGGATAGAACAGGGGAGGGGCGCAGAGTCTCACGAGGCTCGGAGGGGTGGGCTCTTGTAAGTGTATATAACGGGCTAAGAGCAAGGGATGGGGGAGTCCTCTGCAATAAAGATCTTACACCGCACTCGCGTCCTGTCTGGTCCTTGAGCCCATCTTTTCCCCAGGGTGGGTCCGGAGACGTCCGAAGCCTAGCTCCCAGGAAGGAGAAGTACCTGAAGGATCCGGCCCGGGTCAAGTGGCGCCCGAACAGGGACTTGAACTCCTCTTCGGCGACCCCGCCAGGTACGGGTAAGTACCCTCTCTCCAGTGAAAGAGAGGAAGGGACCGACAGCCTATGCAGATCGGGGCTGCATAGAGGGAAAGATGGGAGCACGATACAGTAAAGGAATTAAGCCGGAGGATAAGCGAGTGCTAGTCCTACAAGAGTATAAGGTTTGTAGGGATAATGGGGTAAAAATACAGCTGAGACACTGTCAGGAATGGGTAGAAAAGCTTATAGTGGTGTCTCCGTGGTTACAGAACCAAGGGGTTGATTATCAAAGATGGAAAATAGTTGGGAGTCAGATGTCCTCCTACGCAGAGACAGAACCAGGGTTTTTAACACCAGAGGATTTTACTCTTTATGGCATTGTGACTTTCGCCCTCTCTCCGTGCCCTCCGCTGGTAATAGTAGCGGAGGAGACACAAGTAGGAGCATCCTTATTAGGAGGGGAACAAGACCTTGAGGGTCAAGAGGAGCCATGGCCTGAGCCTCCTAAGCCCCCTGAAATACCGTCTGCACCATGGCCGAGTCTGGAGCCGCTCCCTCCGGAGCCGCTCCCCCCGTATGTGCCACGTTGGCAGCAGAAAGAGGAAGTTCCGCCTGTGGCGCAGTTAGAATTTCAGAAAGAGGAAGTTCTGCCTGTGGCGCAGTTAGAATTCCAGACAGAGGAAGTTCCGCCTGTGGCGCAGTTAGAAATGCAGATACAGCAATTACAGGCCCAAATAAACCAAATGCGGCTTGATAAAAGAGGGAAGAATGAACGGGCCCCGCAGGCCTCACTTTTACAGCATTCATTGCGAGAGGCCGCCAGGGATGGGCAGGTAGTAGACTGGAAAGAGTGGGGACAAGAATTCCCAATTTTTGTCCAGGGAGGTGCCGGAGGAGGTGGTCGGTCTCACCGACCAGTGCCCTACAAGTTCATGAAAGATTTGAAAGAGGCAGTAAAATTATATGGAGCAGGCTCTTCTTATGTCAAGCAGCTGTTGCAATCTACTGTGGCTGTGGCCGCTTGGACCCCAGGGGATTGGGATGAAATTATGTCTGCTGTATTGGAGAGTGCTGCTTACACCGCCTGGTCGGCGTATAGACGCCGAGAGTCTAGGACCTGGGCGGAGATTAATTTCCCTCAGAATGTAGAAGATACCATTAATATGCTAACTGGGTATGGCCAGCATGCTGGGCTGCAGGCACAGCTCTTACTCCCAGACCTTGTCATACAAGGTGCTCAGATAGTGGCGCTAAAAGCATTGGATAGACTAGGGGAGAAATCGCAACCTCCTTTAAACAAACTCGTGCAAAGGCCAAAAGAAAGTGCCATGGAATTCGCGTCCCGAGCACAAGAGGTTGTGGAAAAGAGATATGGAGCAGGAGATGTTGCCCAAAAGCTGCTGATACAGCTTTTCAAAGAAGGACTTAAACAGTCACGAGGGTTGTTGTCAAAGTTACCACCAGACCCCACATGGGAAGAATGCATTGATGTCTGCCTGGAGGAAGGTCCCTTACCTGATGCAGGCATGGTCCAGGTACTGACTGAGGCTTTCGCTGCAGCGCAGGCAGTTAACACGGGGACTAGAGCAAAGGGGACTTGTTTCCGTTGCGGGAAAGCAGGTCATTTTCAAAGTCAGTGTACCCAGGGTGCCCCACAAGTCCGCTGTTTTAAGTGCGGAAGGGCGGGACATATTAAGAAGTATTGTAGACAGGGAAGAAAGGAAAGACGTACGGGGTTACAGGAGAGGCAACCAGGAAGGCAAGAGAGGAAACCGCAGGGAAACGAACGGCGGGTGCCTTAGCCCGAGAAGGGACACCCGCAGCTACAACCTCGGGCGGTAATATACTCTACCCTGTCCAAACGTTAACATTGGGACCATGGACAACGAGTACAGTGGAAATAGGGATGGCCACTGAGCCCAGATTAATCATTGGGACGTCACGGATGAAAGATGTCATAGTACATACCCAAGTGCAGAAGGCTGGCCAGAAACACATTTTTCTCACCAATCCTCATGCAACGTCAATACGCATTGAGCCAGGTCAGCCGATCGCAGCTTCTCTTCCCTTAGCCCCACAGAAACAACAGAATTGGGTGGCGTGGACACAAAGTATAGGACAGGACAGACCCCAATTGGAGGTGCGGGTTGAGGGGCGACTAATCACAGGCCTCTTGGACACGGGGGCAGATATTTCTGTTATCCCTGAGAGTGAATGGGACAAAGCTTGGGAGCTAGGACCTAGGGGCTCTGTGACAGGAGTAGGCGGCGGAGCCGTTGGGATGCGATCTGTTAGACTGCTCCGATGGGACAGTGAGGGACAGGATGGGTTTTTTCGTCCTATGTGCCTTACAGGAGTGCCCATAGCTTTATGGGGGCGTGACATTTTGGAGCAAATGGGAGCTGTTTTGACTACTGACCCTTTAAACTAATGTGGGCCACTGGGGGGCCACAACCCATTCCCCTTAAGTGGAAACATGAAACACCAATTTGGATAGACCAGTGGCCACTAACTACAGAGAAAATTGAGGCCCTAAATAATATAGTAAACGGTCTACTACAGGCCAAGCATGTGCAGCCCTCGCAGAGTCCTTACAACTCACCTGTGTTTGTTATTAAGAAAAAATCGGGAAAGTGGAGGATGCTCATTGATCTCAGAGCTGTCAATGAGGCCTTATACCCATTTGGTGCCTTACAACCTGGGCTCCCCACACCTAGTATGATTCCCCGACATTGGGCCATTGCAGTTTTAGATATAAAAGATTGCTTTTACAGCATTCCCTTGGCAGAGAAGGATACAGAAAAATTTGCCTTCTCTGTTCCATCTCCGAATTTTCAAGAGCCTTATCGCCGTTTTGAGTTTACTGTCCTCCCTCAGGGGATGGCTAACAGTCCAACCATGTGTCAGGCTTTTGTACAGGCCGTTCTCCAGCCCCTATGGGAGGCCCATCCAAAGGCAATGATCATCCATTACATGGACGACATCTTGCTAGCCAGCCCGAATACACAGGAAACGGAGATTTTGTTACAACAATGCCTAGGAATGCTAGAACGAGCAGGTTTAGAAGTGGCTCCTGAGAAGATACAAAAGGGCGATCCAGTCTCATACCTAGGCCACCGAGTGACTGAGACTGCCATTTATCGTCCATGGCCTCAAATAGATACTTCCAAAGTAAAGACACTCAATGATTTTCAAAGATTGATTGGTGCCATACAGTGGCTTCGAGGAGTGGTCCCTATCTCAGATGCTGTCATGCAGCCACTTTATGATTGTCTTAAAGGGCCCTCTGCTTTAACTTCTCCCAGACAATGGACCACGAGTGCCCTCGAAGCAATACAATATATTCAGCATCAGTGTAAACAGCAAGTACAACGTAGAGATTTGCAAACCCTCCTCTACGTCACTCTCTTACAAGATGAATATAAAGGCATGTTGGCAGTGATCTATCAACAGCACGGACCGCTTATGTGGGTTTATCCAGACAGAGACAAAAAAGCACTCCCTAATAGAATGGAAACCCAAGCTCACTTGCTGCTAAAAGCAAGTGCCACGGCACGAAGGGTTAGCGGTAAGGAACCTCTTATAACTCTTAATATAACCCCTCAGGTGCTACAGGAGCTCGCTTTAACTAGCGAAGCTTGGGCGGTCTTACTTGTTACCCACACCATTCTACCGTTAACGTTACCCCCAGCTTTACGTCTGTGGCAAGCTGTTCCCCTTCAACGTCCTAGCACTATAATAGCTACAGAACCAGTGCAGGGACCAAATGTTTCACAGACGCCACAAAACACCTAAAAGCAGCCTTTTACATCCCAGAAAGGAAGGTTTTACAAGTGTATGCTACCCCCTACAATTCTGCTCAGCAGAATGAATTAGCAGCTATTATCAGCGCTTGTGAATTCTTAGCAAAAGAATCTTTTAATCTTATCACAGATAGTATGTATTGTTATCATGCATTCCAGCATTTACCTGATGCTGCCTTGGCACGGTCACCTTCGTCCGTCCTCCCGCTCTTTCAGCGATTGCAGCAGCACCTGCTGAGCCGAACTACACCGATTTATATACTTCATGTCCGCTCTCATATAGGCCCATACGGACCTTTATATCAGGGCAATGCCGTAGCGGATGCGGCTTTACAACAAGCCCCTACTGATGTATTCTTTATGACACCTTACACGGCTCATCAGAAATTACACCTTTCTGCTCGCACTTTAAGAACAATGTTTGGCATTCCCAGAGAGCAAGCCAGACAAATCGTGAGAGCTTGCCCTAATTGTGCTCCTTTTCGACCACCACCCCCTATACCGACTTACAATCCCCGTGGTCAAACACCTAATGCCTTGTGGCAAATGGATGTGACCCATTTTCAAACTACTCTTATTCATGTGTCAATAGACACTTATTCCGGCTTCCTTATGGCCTCCATTCAACCTCGTGAAAATGTCTCAAGTGTTCGTGCTCATCTGTTATATTGTTTTTCCATAGCCGGTCTCCCCCACACAATTAAAACGGACAATGGTCCCGCTTATCGCTCGCGCTCTCTCGCGACTTTCCTTGCTGAATTCGGCATACGGCACGTGACCGGCATTCCCCATAATCCCACCGGACAGGCCATTGTCGAACGAGCCCACCAAACTTTGAAGCAGCTTCTTGTTAAACAAAAAGGGGGAGTCCCAGGCAGACTCACCAGGGCCCTCCTTGATCAGGTTTTATTCGCTTTAAATTTCCTGCAAGTGACTGATGATGGCCTAACCCGAGCTGAATGGTTTTTTCGCCCACGTGATACCGGTGTGCACGCACCGTCTTTGGCCCCACGGCAGGAGCTGCTGGAGCAAGGCGCTTCTGTCATGTGGAGAGACCCTGAGGGTGTGTGGCATGGTCCAGATAGGGTAACTATCCGGGGGAAGGGTTATCTATTCGTGTCTCCACAGAATGGAGAAGGTCGCTGGGTTCCCGTCCGCTGGGTTAGAGAACTGGCGAAAGGAGCGGACGCAGAGAAGGAGGCGGAAGCGAGGACGCCGCGGACGTCAATCCAGGAGGCTGAAGAAGGAGAATAGGAAGCGGATCTCCCACTGTGTTTTCTCTTTGGCCATTCTTAGTCTTGGCCTTGGGTGGGGGTTGCCCGTCGGCGCCGAAGGGCGTTCGGCGAAACACCTGGTTGCACAGCTAAATCACACTGCTAAGCCCTGGACTAACCTTAACCAGGAGCATACCTATTGGGCACTAGTACGACACTTCCCCCAACCACGTCCAGTTACTTGGAATGGGGATCCTGTTCCCCTAGTTGTGGTTTCCAATGCTTCACTCCTCATGGGCGGAGGGGTGGAACGGCCAGTTATCTCCCATGAACAAAATAAGACCATTATTATGAGGAGTCCCACACTACCCATTTGCCTCAGCAAAGGTGCCCACGCCGGTTGTGCTCAGGTAGAAAATGATACCATCACTGAGTTACCGCATGGACCCCACGGTTGGATAGGGAAAGGGGACCATATACATTTTTATGTCTTACAACATCAGCGTAGCACGCTCTATCAGAGACATCAAAATTACTCACTGTGGCTGAACCATACCAACTCCGGGTTCAGTAACATCAGCAGCCATAGTTACACCCAAAATGTCACTAGCGGGTTTTTTCTCTCCCCACTCCCTCTTTGCACCCCTTCCCCTAACATGTTTGTAGGCTTCCAAATCTGTTCTACAGGGCATCAAGTAGATGGCGAGAACGTGAACGGGACTCAACTCTACTTTCTGGATGGACAACCGGGTCCTTGGCGGCCCCGGTACCCCATGTGCAAAGCCCTCGAGGACCTATAGCCCATGCACATCTGTGGAAATTGGCTGCTGCCTTTGCACCTTTGATCCATTTCACGGATAACAGTGCACCTCTATCTGACAACAGCACTCTTCGGAACTGGTGGTGGGACTTGTTATTTTCAGCAGGGCGTACTTGCAACAGCCATGGTCAATTAGGACACTGTAACGATTTTAACGTGACCATCCAGACGACTTCGGATCGTGACATGTTTTGGATCTGTCGTAATGGCACCATCACTCCCTCCTCTGCAGAATACGCTGTACACTGCTCCAACGGATCGTTCTCCAATACCTTACAATCTACAGACGTAGCCTCCAACGCCACCATGGTCCTCCTTCTTCGAGTGCCGCCTATCACCTTTGTGCCAGTGTTAACTACACAACCTTTTGCGCAATCGCCTATAGAGAGATTCCTATTGCGCCGCTATCGGAGAGAGGTGGGAGGTCTCGACCTCATCAACCTTGCACTAAATATTGCTGAAGCATTAGATCTCGTTCTGGTGAACCATCAACTGAGTCTTCTAGCACGGCATTTGGAGGAGTTCATGGAAGAAACCACCCAAGCGTGGACTGTGCAACAACGATTAATCGTCTCCTGTTAAACAAGGTTGAGCTCATGGCTACAGTGTTAGCTGATACTGTGCTGGAGGTGACTATTGCCGAAAAGCTTTCCACTGTTGGATGTTCTTATGAGTTTCAACCGCCCATGTGTGTCACTGCACTTCATCCTAACTCTTCCATTGACCCTTTGATTAAGAACTTGACTGACTTTGAGCAAATGGAAGATTGCCTTGGTCAATTGGACATTGTTTTAGAGCATATTCGCAATGTCACCCGCCAAACAAGGGATAATCTCTTCCCTGATTCCCCTTTTGATCAATTTTTCAGCTGGTTACATAACTTGGGGTTTTCGCATTTCCTTCTTTGGCTCTTCTATGGTGCGGGCTTCCTGATCCTTGTCTGCTTTATTGCCCCTTGCCTTTTCTCTTGTTGGCTCCGTGTGCTGCGGCACTCTCTTGAAAGCTTCAAAGCCGACATCTCCCTCCCTAAGAAAAACCCTGTCCTTGTTTAAACAAAAAGGGGGAGTTGACAGGGGCGCCCTGGACCCTGGCTTCCTAGGAAGGGTCGTGGTAGACCCCCGGCCGTAGGTTGCTGAGTTACGCTCAGCTGATGGTTACGGGGTGGCTCCGCCTCTAGGATAGAACAGGGGAGGGGCGGAGTCTCACGAGGCTCGGAGGGGTGGGCTCTTGTAAGTGTATATAACGGGCTAAGAGCAAGGGATCGGGGGAGTCCTCTGCAATAAAGATCTTACACCGCACTCGCGTCCTGTCTGGTCCTTGAGCCCATCTTTTCCCCAGGGTGGGTCCGGAGACGTCCGAAGCCTAGCTCCCAGGAAGGAGAAGTACCTGAAGGATCCGGCCCGGGTCACTAGTTTTGTTTAATAGTTCAATGGTTTTTTATTTTCAGTTTTGTTAATCTCTCCTTTGACTTTTCAGGATTTCTATTTTGGAGTTAATTGGAGATCTTTTCTTTGTTGGTTTTCTAATTTCTTTAGTTAGTCAATTTTTTTCTCTTTTATTGACATGTGTGTAGAAGTATAAACTTTCCTTAAAAATTTCTCTGCCTATATCCCATTATGCCATTAGGTGCATATATGTTCAATATTGATACTAATCCATTGTCTATGGTACCTACCTTTTAGGAAAATGCAGTTTCCCTGTTTATCTCTTACTTAGGTCTATTTTACTTTTGCTTTGCCTGAGATCAAGAATGCCATCCTGTCTTTTTTGCTTCAGCTAAAGAATAATAGATTCTGCCATAGCCCCTTATTTTTACTTCTATGTATATCCTGTTTCAAGAGTGTTTCTTGTAAATGACATATTGTTGTCTTCTAGTTTCTAATCCATTCTTATATCCACTTCCATTTTATGGGCGAGTTCATTCCATTCACATTCACAATTATGATTGCTGTGCATTTCCCTCCATCCTACTCAATTATCCTTATCCTTCTTTTTTTTTTCATCCTGTGCCCTCTTTAAGAGTTTTTGCTTCTGATCCCTTAATCTATCTTTCTCTTTTTTCTCTCATACCCTCTCTTTTTCTTAATTTCTTTTCCTCCTGCTTCTCTGTTTGGTAAGATGAATTTCAATACCCAGCTATTTATGCATATGTATTCTTTCCTCCTTAAATAAGTTCAGATGAGAGTGAGGCTCAAGTGTTGTTGCTTATCTTCTCTCATTGTCTCTCCATTGTATAAACTCTTCCTTGCATGCCCCATTTATGTGAAATAATGTTTCCCATTATTCCTTTCTCTTCCCCTTTTCCCAGCACATTAGTCTTCCCCAACCTTCCATTCCTCATTTTGGATCATCTAAAAATAATAAGATAACACTGGGACTCTCTCTAAAACCCCTGCTAATGATAAAATTTTGATGGGTTACATATATTATCTCGCTATATAATAATGTAAATAGTTTAACCTTTTTTTAGACCCTCATGGTTTCTCACTCATTCATATCTGCCCTTTTATGCTTTTCTTGAGTCTTCTACTTGTATGTCAAATTTTCTATTCAACCATGGTCTTCTAATCAGGAATGCTTTAAAGTCCTCCTTTTCATTTAATATCCATTTCCCCCTGTAGTATTACACTCAGGTTTGTGGTTAATTTATTCTTGTTCATAAACTTAGCTCCTTTGCCTTCTGGAATATCATATTCCAACCCTCCATTCCTTTATAATGGTAGCTGTTAAATCTTGTGTGATCCTAACTCGCTTCATGGTCCTTGAAATTTTTTCTGGCTGCTTGCAGTATTTTCTCCTTGACTTATGAGTTCTGTATTTTGACTACACTATTCCTAAAGTTTTCTTTTGTGGGTTTCTTTCAAGAGGTGACCAGTGGATTCTTTCAATTTCTACTTTGTCCTCTGGTTCTAAGAGATCTGGGCCTTTATAATTTCTTGAAATATGATGTCTAGGTTCTTTTTTTCTTCATAGCTTTAGGAACACCAATGATTTTTAAATTATCTCTCCTCTATTTTCCAAGCCAGTTGTTTTTCCTATCAGATATTTCATAATTTCATTTTTTTTCAGCCTTTTGACTTTGATTTATTATTTCTTCGTGTGTTGTGGAGTCATTAACATTCTAATTCTAATTTTAAAGACAAATTCTAATTTTTAAAGAATTACTTTCTTCAGCAAATTTTTGTTCCCCTTTTACCAATCTGTTAACTCTCTTATCACTGTCACTTTATGTATATTTTATCTTTACAAGTACAAAATCAATCATCAGAGTTTTACCTGAATATATAGATAGAGAATCGGCTCAACATTTTTGCCAGTGACATGCCTTCTATTTCCAACATAGCAATGCCTGTATGAAGACGAACTTCCTCCTCACTGGCATCTAGTTCAGTCTTTGGGAGAGAATCCTCATCAGTATAGTCAGGTATCATTAAAATAAGCATATTTACCATCCACTTAATCATGGCTATATGGAGTTCATTCACCTGTAGGAAGAAAAATATTATTTTAAAAGATTAGATTTCAGATGAACCATTTAAAATTTGTTAAAGTTATATTGCATTTAGGTGTTGAAGATGTATTTATCCTTGGGTCCTGACTTTAATGATGCTATGGTGCTTGGTGAAATTAAATCCAATATCTAGCTTCATCATAACATAGCTCTAGTCTCTTTTTCTCACTATAGCATATGATGCTTCTGTCTTCCTATCTCTAGGTTTGTTTAGGACATTGATAAAAGGCACTGTTCTACAGCCATTTAAAGAGGGCTGTTTTCTCAGAAGGAAGTGCAATGGAAGGTACATCAGCATAGTAGGGTATATTCTTTAAAAAACACTTGCTTGTGATGGAATACTACTGGGCTGTAAGAAATGATGAACAGGTTGATTTCAGAAAAACATGGAAAGACTTGCACGAAATAATGCAGAGTGAAATGTGCAGAACCAAGAGAACATCGCATACAGTAACAGTAATATTGTTCAAAGAATAACTGTGAACAATTAAGCTATTCTGAGCATCATAAACATTCATGTCAACTACAAAGGACCTATGAAGGAAGATGCTAGCCACTTCCAGATAAAGGACTGATAAACAGAAGTATGCAAGCATGCAGCGTATGAATACCTATACAATATATACATGTACATATATTTATATACATACACACACACACACACACATATATATATATATAAAATCAAATGGTGACTTTCTCAGGTGTGGGTGGGGAGAGAGGAAGGGAGACAGTTCAGAACTTAAAATGTAACAAAAAATAAAATTACATTAAAAGCAAAGACTAGGTCCCCAATTAAAATATATGATTTATAAAATTGAAACACAATTGTGCAGATAAGTGTCTCTTTTATATACTAGTGATTAAGCTTTATTTCACAGATAGAAAACTAAAGAATGTTAAAGTTGGAGAGCTAAAAAGAATTTTACATCTCAGGGCAGCTAGGTGGCACAGTGGATACAGCTCTGGCCTTGGAGTCAGGAGGACCTGAGGTCAAATCCAGCCTCAGACACATGACACTAGCTGTGTGACCCTGGGCAAGTCACTTGATCCCAATTGCCTCACCCAAAAATAAACAAACAAAAAAAAGAACTTTACATGTCATTTAATCAAACCCTTTCATTTTACAGGTGATAAAACTGAAACCGAGAGAGGTTAAGTAACTTGCCTATTCAATTTACCAAACCCTCATTAAGAGGCAGTATGGTGGAATGGTTTGAGCACTGGACTTGAAATTAGAAAGACTTGGATTCTAATCCTCTGTTTGGCTTTTAAAGCCTTTCACAATAACATCCCTTCCTACTTTTCCAGTCTCCTTATACCCTGCTTTCTTCCATACACCCCTACAATCCAGCAACACTTGCCTTCTTGCTGCTCTTTGGACATGACACTCCATCTTCCACCTGTGTGCCTTTTCTCCGGCTTTCCCCCATGCCTGGAATGCACTTGCTCATCATCTCTACCCACTGGCTTCCCTGGTTTTTTATGAGTTGGCTCAAATCCCACTTCCTCAGGAGGTCTTTCCTACCCCCATCCCCCTTCTGGGTGCCTTCTTTCTGTGGTTATTTTCCATCTCTACTATATATGTATCCTGTGTGTACACTGTCGTTTATGTGGTATCTCTCTCATTAGAACGTGAGCTCCTTGAGGGCAGGGACCGTTTTTTTAACCTTTCCTTGTATCTCTAGCACTTGATCTAGTGCTTGGCACAAAGCAAATTGTTGACTGATTGATTGAACCTGGTAACTGTGACCATGGTCAAGCCATTAACTCACCCTAAGCCTCAGTAATTAAGAACCTAAGTTATAGATAAAGGAGTTCCCACATTGATGGAATCACAAGTCTTTGGTACATTAGTGTATTATTAAGTATCTACTGTTTGCAGAGGCTAGTACCTAGGGAAATATGAAGTTTAGAGAAGGTCCCTGTGATCATAGACCATAGAGTGTACTAGGGGAACTTGATGTGTACACAGATAACTAGAATACCTAACCTCACATCACAAACATGTCAGAAAGGTGCAAAATCAAGCGCTATTTAAGATCCAAGGTTAGAGACTGGTGGATCATGGAGAAGGTGGCACTTGAACTTCTGAAGTATTGGTAAGAACTTAACAAGCAAAGGGGATATTCTAGGTACAGGGAACAGCACTGGAAAAAGCATGGAAGAAGAGGAGCACTGAATGTGATTAGGGGATGGAGAGTGGCCTAGTTTAATGGAATCTCTGAGAAGAATTATAAGAGATAAGCTAGAAACGTAGAGTAGTGATAGGCCATGGATGATTTTGAAGGCCAGGAAAAGAAGAATGAACTTGACTCATGAAGTACCAAGAAATCAGTGAAAGAGCAGAGGAGGTAAATGAATAGATCTATGCATAAAGAAGATTATTTTGGCAGCAGTCTATAATATGAATTAGAGGGTGGGGTCAAGATGAGATGGCCTCTTAAGAAGCTGTTGTAATAGTCTGTGCATGTGTTAATGAAGACCTGGACTACAATAGAAACAGAGAAGATGGAGGTCAGGGATGTGGCAGAGGTGGAAGTAACAAGATCTGGTCACTGATTGTCTACAGATTGGATATGAGAAACTACAGAGAAGAAAGAGGTGGCAATCATGGAAGACTGGGTGCCATTGACAAAAAGAGGGAAGTCAGAAGGAGAAACAGAGGAAAGGATAACAAATCCTTAAGCACTTGCTATGTGCCAGGCAAAAATGAAACAATCCCTCCCCTCAAAGAACTTACATTTTATTGAGGGCAATATCTGAATGGGATATAAAAGTAAAGAAAAGGCTCATTTAAAAAAATAGAATTGGGATGACTTAAGTATGTTAGGCAAATGGGAAGGAGTTGGTGGAGGAAAGACTGAAGATGCATGAGAAAAGGGGAATGATTGCTGAAGGCATGAGGGGAAAGAATCAAGAATGTAAATAAAAGAATTAGCATCAATGAGAAGTAAAGATTCTTTCCTTTTGTGCCTGGACAGAAGGATTGAGTAAATGATGATGGATACCAAGAAGTTTTGAAGAATGGGAAGCAGAAATGAAGGAGTTTATACTGGAGGCTATGTGACTGGCTGTAGGTAAGGGGGTGGGTGGTGGATGGGGACTGAAGGGCATTGAACAATCTTTGTGGAGGATGAACTTGGCTTTTGGTAATAATAGAATAGAAGGACTAGAAAGCAGTGAGGACCTTGTTGAGGTTATGCCTCATAAATTTGGAGTTGGTATAAACATCTCCATTTCATGACTTTTTCCAGTAATACTAAAGCAAGAAAAATCATACGGTAGAGTTTAGTAAGAATTAAGGATTGGTGGGTTAGATAAAGTGGGAAGGCAAGGGATTCTAGGGCAGTGGCTCATAAAACATTAATGTGGCTGACCATCTGATGAAGATTGGTCATGCAGCCAGGTTAATTCTGAGACAGACTGAGAGATTGGGCTAACGTACCAGAAGTCACAATGAGGTGAAGAGTAAATTTTGGGTGAGGGTGGGACAGGCAAAAGAAGGGGAAGTCATAATCACAGTGGAATTTCAGGGTCCAGCACGAGTCAACACTAGAATCCAAGTCTTTGTACTCTTAGGCCCATTCTCTTTCTATTCTACCATGCCAACTCTTCAGTTAATCTAGCCCTGCTCCCCCCAAAAAAAATTTGACCTGGGGAGTAGAAGAGTAAACAAAGACACCATTTTTTCATTTTTCTTCTTCTGTAGGATTACTCAGTACTAAGAATGATATATACCTTTACTGAAATAACATACTTATTTAGAGGAATTATTCATTAACCCTTATACCACCCTTATGAAATACTCAAGAACAGACATTATTTTCTCCCTTTGATAGAGCAAAGTAGTCAAATAGGTAGTGCTGTATGTCTGCTCTAAAGCTGAAACCAAAAGCCAAGAATTTGGAACTAGACAGGTAGACAGATCACTAGAATACATAACATCACAGTACAAATACGTCTGAAAGGTGCAGAAATGTGCTATTTAAGGTCCTCCAAACACCTCAAGTCCTTCATCTTACACAGAGAATACTTAGGATAAATACAATTGGAGAGAAAATGGCTATCAGGAATTATTTTTCACCAGCCAGTCCAATTTGACAATTTTTAAAAAGCATCTACCATACTTAAGGTACCCATGTTGGGAATTGAGTATAAAAGGATAAAATGAAAACAAAACAAAACAAAACAACTCCTGTTCTCACGGAGCTTACATCCTACTAAGAGGAGAGATCAACAGGAAAACATAAAATAGAAACATGGTAACCTGAGGATGGAATGAACACTAACAACCCTTGCAGGATACACAACTATATTCAGTGCAGGAGGTCCTCTGCATCCATCCCCTGTGACTGATGGTTTTGATCACTGCTGCACGTGCCAGCCCCTACTTCTTAGTCAGCAATGACCCCTTTTTTAAAACTTACCCTATTTATACTTTTAGTCTTTAGTTATTTTAGTCACAGTTACTTCCTATGCCAGCTTCCCAAGGTTCAACCCTCCCTTTAAATGAAGAAAAATAATTAAGCAAGAATACTCCATACTGTGAACACATCTAACAGTGCATATGATTCTCTTCCCTGGTTGTCTCCTTCCAGGCTCTCTGCAGAAAAAGGGAGATATGTTTCATTATCTGTTCTCTGCCTGTGTTACCTCAGACAAACTGAGACCTGGGAAAGACCTTAGCTTAAAAAGGCCAAGGTCTCCCACTGCATCCAGGGCATCTCCAGTTGTCCTGATCTCTATCTTGCCACTGGACCCAATCACTGTGGAGGAGAGAGGAGGCCGGTGACTTTTCACAGCCTTGCTTCACTTAAAACCAATTCATTTGCAAGTCAAGATATCACCTTCCCGATGTCATTGGTCTTCTTTGAGAATGAAGGGACAACAACAATCTATGAGTAGTAGTAGCTGCCCCACTGGGGATTCAACTGGCCAGTTCTAGCTGGACAATGCTGCTCGCTCCTTCCT